AGAAAAATAGTATTGTATAATAAAAAATAAGGACATAATTAAAAATCATCTGTGCACAATAATTTTGATTTTTCTGTTAGACCCAAAACTACATACTACTCTAAAGTTCTCCAGGGATGACCTGCTCCTCAATTTGAGAAAACAGGAGGGGCTATTTTTTGCATAGCGTGATATTGGCCCTTTCTGGAGTTTCAACCGACCCCCAGCCCAAAGGCCTAAACAACCATCATGAGTTCTCATTGATCCTTTATCTTGTCAAAAACTCGATTTCCCATGCGCAATGCTATGTTATATTAGACCCAAAAACCACACACTATTTCTAGGATGCTTAGACATACTAGAAATGTCTAAGCATCCCGTTAAACGGGAGAGGTCAATTTTTTGTGAATTGATCAGTTTCTGTCTGGAGTTTTAACAGACCCCAAGACCCAAAACAACTTAATTAATCTAACCATGGGTTTTGCACAATAAAAACTAAGTGAATGTTCCCCTGATATTGTCAAAAATTTGAAGGCCAGAAACAGGTGACAGGCGAGAAACAACAATTGAGCTTTACAGTCAGACATTTTGAAAACCGCCAGAAAAAACAAACAAACAAAAAAACGTTCTGCCTACCATTTAAGTTGTGCACACACCAAAAAGCTCCATTTTTGGTCACCACATTAATTAACTGAGAAGGGAGTCCTGGTCTCAGGAACCCAAAAACCGACTCAGACAAGCCCCCAGTTGTTGTAATTCAATCATTTTTATCTCTATGCACCACCCAGGCCTGTTTACCAGTTTCAGGACCCGGTCCTAAAACCATACACCCTTTTAGTTTCAACTGCAAGAGGGTGTAAGATGGGTTCTTACACTGAGGGATAAGAACCTTGAGAAATAATGAGATTTGGTTAAGTATAAAACAGGTGTTAATGCCGAAAATGATCAAAATGTTACAACCTATGCAAGTCATACAAGTAGAACAGAAACAGACTGACATTCACCATCCAGCACTGGGCTTCACCAGAACTCCTCAGTAACAACACTGAGGGGTTCAGAGCAACAGAGACAGTAGCTGATTTTTAGACCTTTGCTGAGGTTAGATAACATCGATGGATGAGATCGGCTTCACATCTAAGTATCGGCCGATTACTAATCTCCCAAAATTAAGGAAATCAGCTCATCTCTAATTTGAAAATTATGGTGGATTAATAGCATCAAATCAAAAACTATTGGCTTTCTACCCCTGAACCAGAGTGAAATAAATCAGTTGGGTGTGATATGGAGAGCTTTAAAAAGGTTTTCACATTCCTCCTACTTTTCCAATTGTCACATTGTAACCTCAAATGTCAGCATTTCATTGGGAACAACATGGGTCCGAATTATTAAGTGGAGGAAAGATGATGCATTATTTTCACCTTCTTAACAGATAAATATCAGAAAATCATAGTCTTTATATCCATAGCCCTTTATTCTGATTCCACCAAATAAAATCCAGCAAGACTTGTCTTTAGGATTCACCACAGTAGAAAAACAGGTAACACTTTATTTGAAGGGGTGTGAATAAGACTGACATGACACTGTCATAAACATCAGTAAGTCTTCATGAATATTTATGACTGTTGTCATAAAGCGTCATTCGGTTAATTATGACACTTTTAATACAAAGTTGACATTATTCAAAATGTCTTCATTATGACAACTTGTCATTAACCAAGAAATCATGATCTGACATAAATTTGTTATAAAAGTATTACCGATTAAACTTTAAAAATTATGTAGCTTTCTGTTATTAAAGCTAAAGTTTAATCAGTAATACTTTTATAACAAATTTATGTTATAAAAGTATTGAGCTTAACCTTTCTCTTTCTCATTGGACACCTGCCTTTTGCTTTCTGTGACGGTTTGAGCAACACTTTTTGCTGGGGGTGACACCACTCTTACCAACTTTGTCTCTGGTGAAAAACTGGCTTTGCTTTCATTAAGGACGTGTTTGAATCTCATGGTTTTCTCCTCTGCTACCGTTTTCTGTGCAGGCTTATGGATTTTGTTTTTATCCTGGCCAATTTCAGTTCTGGTAGGAGGCACAGAAGTGGCAGCCTGAGCTTTGTTAAATGAGATCAACAAAGCTGAAAGCTGCTTCTTTCAACTTTGTTATGTAGCTTTAAATTGTGTAAAGCTACATAGTTTGAAAATTATGTAGCTTTATGTTATTAAAGCTAAAGTAATACTTTTATAACAAATTCATAACAGATCACAATTTCTTGGTTAATGTCAAGTCGTCATAACAAAGACATTTTGAATAATGTCAACTTTGTATTAAAAGTGTCATTATTTACCGAATAACACTTTATGACAACAGTCATAAATATTCATGAAGACTTATTGATGTTTATAACAGGTGTTATGTCAGTTTTAGTCACACCCCTTCAAATAAAGTGTTACTGAAAAAAAGTCCATCTGTGTGCAGTTGAACCTCAGTCTAAATGCAGCTGGTCTGGTTCTGGCCTCAGAGGTTCTTTAAAGATCAAGTATCAACCTTGGAGACCAGGGAACCCGGCAGGAGGTCAGGCAGAACCTGGTGGTTCTGTTTAAAGCAGAGTTAGGTTCTACAACAACATGCCATGTTCTGATCAAACCTTCATATGGACATGGAGACAGGATGGACCAGCTGGAGACCTACCAGGACATGGACATTCAACCAGACTGACAGGAGAGCATGGAGACTCTAGAGGAGCTGCAGAGATCCACAGCTCAGGAGGACAATCTGCTGACACACTAGTAATCCTACACAGCACACCTGGCCTTTGTTGATTTAACATTGAGCATGATACTCTCTAGAAAGCCCTTCCACCAACCTCTCACCTCCAGGTAGGGGACGATCCTGCAGGAAAACGCTCCCAGCAGCCAGTTCTTGGTGAGCTCATGGAAAACCACGAGCGGCAGGCAGAAGAAGACAACTATGAAGTCCCAGAGCGCAAGGTTTGCCAGCAGGGAGTTGGAGATGCTCCTCATGTAGTAGTTGTGACACACAATGCACATGAGCGCCACGTTCCCAATGATGCCTACGCTGAAGATGACGGCGGCCACCAGCAGCACCGCCCAGGCTCCGTAGGACGCGGCAGTGAGGGGATAAAATGGGTTCTTCATCTGCTTGGGTCTGGTCCGCGGGTTCCCTGGCGAGGTGTCAGGAGTGTCCGGCAGGGAATAATCCTCCTCCTCATAGTCGCTGCTGTTGAATATCAAGGGGAACCGGGGGTCACGCTCCTGCGCCATAGCGACCGGCAGAGCGACCGACGCCTCCAACAGCGGCTCGCTTCGCTTCCTCCGGTTCTGATTGAACCTCGGATCCTTCTCATCTGTTCTGATTCCGCATTTAAGCCCATGCCCGTTTTTTTTCAGCCCTTCTTCCACAGCACACTGAGCTTTTCGCCTGCTCTCCTCTGTGCGTAAATGTCTATTTAGTGCAGAACTTTTACGCACAGAGCGTTGGCGCAGCGCTCCCTGTAGCTTGGCTGGTTTCGGGCCCAGCGGGGGAAACTCGGCTACGCGGCTGGCTGTTTGTGGGGGGCACGACCTGCTCAGTGCATTCCTCTCAGGGGTGGTAGCGTCATTACGAGGACCGGGACTCCGGCGGAGCGGAGCGGCACCGATGTCGCTACACAGCAGCAAGCAGAGGAGCCGCTGAGGCAGCATGATGGTTCGGTTTAAACAGAGGCGGCCACAGAGCGCCACGATGCTCGGTCCATCTCCAGACTGGGCCGTCAGGTCAAAGATGTCTTGAGCTTCTGGGAGTATGAGCAGCGCTACCAGGGTCCACTCCCGACTCCCGGGCCGGCTCGGGTCTGTGCGGGGAGCAGATGTGCTGACACCAAGGTCACCGCTCGTATGACTGAAGAGCCACGAAGTTTGAAAAGTTCCACCTCACGAAGCTCTGAGGCGGAGAGAAAAAGGCCCGGCAAGGGAAGGAGAGAGAGAGAGAGAGAGAGGGGGGGGGGGACTTTGGGAGGAGCAAAGATCCGTCAAACTTCCCATATTAATTCTATTTACCTTGCAGAAAACAGTGGCAGTAATAACCCTGATTACGGAAAGGACAAGAGCTGTGACAAGGTTGTTCCTCAATAGAATCAGAATCAGTTTCTGTGCAATATGAATAACCATGTCAATATGTCACTTTAGAGAGAATTATACTAGATTGAAGCATATTCTTAATGTCATCCATTATTTTATACCTGAAATACAAATACTTTCCTGCAGGTTTTTAATACTTTATAACTGGTGCTATTCAGAAAGATAAACTTCTGTAAGTTCTGTCCTTTTTGCAAATAGTTTGATCCAAAAACATCCCATTACATCTCACCTGTTCAATCTGCTCCAGTCTCTAACTGGTTTCCTTCCAGGATTGTTCTGGATTTAGCTCCATTCATCCTCCCATCATCTCTGACCTGCTTCCTGCTGAAGAAACGCATTCCCGCATGATGCTGCCACCACCATGCTGCACAGTGGACAGGATGTGTTCAGGGTGATGTGCAATGAGGCCAGAAACTTGTTTTGTCCTCAGAGAGAACAAAGTGAAGACTCCATACAGGTCAGCTCTCCTCCAACATGACCCCTGCTCAGTTTTAACCTATAGCCACACTGATGAGGCATAACATTATGACCACCAATAAAATATCTGATTCCAGCTTACTGATTATGCTTTTATTTAGAAAGTCATTAAATCACTGTGGTGAATGGTGGAGAAAACTTTGGGATGGAAACAAACAGAAAGCATCCCATCAGTGCAAGGAACAGATTTCCCACCAAGCAGCCCAGAAGACAGAACACTTGATGTGTTTGAATGTGAGGTGCTGTGCTTCAGGTCCGGTCCAGTCCAGGCTGGTCCATTGTGCTTCATTGTGTATTGTCTGGACTGTTACAGCAGGGTTTGACGACCACAGTATTGCAGATCTGGTAGCAAGTCTGGATCTGCCTGTCCTCACCCTCTGTCTGGTACGCCATGAGACACAGGTCGAGCCATGGCCGCTCACCTGTAATACATGTGAGGCATCATCAAGGTCACCTGAACCCTGGACTGGACAGGGAGTGATAGAGTCATGAGGGGACTGTGAAGGTGCTGAGGCAGAGAGAATCACTGATTTCTCTCAGTCCACAGGCCTTCATGGACTTCATTGGTCCTATTACATACCTATGCTGCCCTCTGCTGGACAGAGTGTTTCCATTGTCCGATGAATGCTGTTTTGAGCTTCCTGATTGGCTGAGACATCTGTTGCTGCCACACTGAAGAAAAGCTCCTGAAGACAGAAGCAACACAGTTTAGTCAGTTCCTCCATCCAGTAGGAGGGCAGCAACTCTGAGCTCTGTCAGCCAATCAGGGAGCAGACAGGAAACTGCTGCTTTCAAAACAAACCACTGCTCTGGCTAAAGGGGCCACGTTTCTGTAACTGACTACAGTTTCAAAGATCAAACAATCTTTCATCATTTTTTAGTCAATTTTTTCAGCCAGTTTTCAAATGAAAAACACTAAATAATACCAAGTAAACAGAATCAGATAAGGACTAGAATAAAGAACAGTGTAAAGAAGTTCCTGGTCTAATGACTGAAAAGCCACCAGCATATTGTTAGGAATAAATAATTCTGTGTTTTTCTCTATCTCTTGTATCTGCTCACATGCACACTGCTGCATGCTTACATAGGCAGAGCATACGAGACCGGCAACAGTCACACAGAAACAAAAACTGATTAGGGCCGGCCAACACAGTTCTGGTCAGGTCCTGAAACTGGTAAGCGGATCTGGGTGGTGCACAAAGGGGAACTACAAGAATATGTTCATCAAAAATTTTAAAGTATAAATTAATGATATCCATCTTTGTGCCCTGCTCTCCTGAGCTGTGAGGAGCTGGAGTTGAAAAGAAGATATGTCCTTCACTGTGCTGATTCAACATCCCTACTGACGGCTTCTCTGCTGTCTGGAAATGTTAGCTCAGAATTTAAATGTTGTGCATCATTTTCTAGTCCTCCCTTCATCAGGTTACAGAACAATGGTTCCTATTGCTTTGATTCCAAGCTTGAGCTGACCGGTTTCCAGTCATTTGGTGCAATTGTTGGACCAGGGACCTTACTAAAGGTCGAAGGTCACCTGACCTGGAGGGGTGAAGTTGAAGACCTCTGAGCTGGAGGCTGAGGAAACCTTTGCAGGTGGAGTTAATTAGCTGATTAATGAGATTCCAACATTTCATAAAATTTGGGCTGTTCATTTTCTGAAAGCCAAAATAATCACAGTGACAAGAAATAAAGGCTTGAAATATTTCACTCTATGTCCAATGAATCTGTATTTATGACTTTCCTTTCCTGAGTCAGTCTCTTGTATTAAATGTGTACCACTATTTTGTCCTGTTCTGCAAGGGCAAGACTTTTTCTAAATGTGAAAATATAAACACACACACACACCACACACACACACATACACACACACACACACACACACACACACACACAACATATCCTCTTATAAACAAACACAGAACTTCATCAGGTTAGGCCCTTAGCAACAGAGAGGCTGGATGACTAAATGAGGATCCACTCAGAAACCAGTTCATTACTGAGATGAGATTTTCTAGTTCCACTTTAGTGAAGGTGATATCATGGGATGGACCAGCGACCCGTCCAGGCTGTACCCAGCCTCGGTAAACACACAGGCTCTAAATCCTGCATGAACACAGCTGTTCTCATACTGCAGTCAGATTTTCCAGCTCAGACTTCACCTGCCTGTCTGACAAGGACATGAAAGTCAGAAACTCACAGCATGTCTCCACAAGTAGACGTCCAGAGTGTCTGTGGCATCCTGCAACTGCAACTTCATCAGCAAGACCAGCTGCAGTGGCTGCACACCGAGGGCTGCAGAACACAAGCAAACAGACAGAAGGCTTGTGACCCCAAATCAGTCGCGTTAAGCAAGCAAATTTGTAAACATGCTGTCAGCAGCCAGCCAACGTTTCCAGGTCAGAATGGGTTTTTCCTAGATTGGCTGTTGCCTTCTTGTGCAATTCAGTTCAATTCAAATCTTGATTCACATATCAGTCTGGTCTTTCTTCCATTAAAAGACTATGTTAAAAGCTCAACATAGTCCACACTTCTAGGAAGCAATGATTTAACAGTGGAGAGCCCAGACCCTGTTGAAGCAAAGTGCTGGAATATGGGGCTGGTTTTTACCAGGCTAACTTTTTCAAAGTCTGGGGTGAAAAATGTTTCACTTTTTTGTTTTTTATTAATATAGTTGAGATTTTGTCAGACTTTTGAAAAATCAAGTGATGACAGTCCAATTAGGATGTAATTGAGGTGATTGGAGACTCGGGAGGTCGGAGTTCATCAGGCTGAAGGTTCAATTCCTGCTCCTTTCAACTCCATCATGGTGTGTTGGGCAAGACACTTCACCCACCTGGCCTCACCTGCTGGTGGGGGTCAGACTGGCCGAAGGCAGCTGGGGCTCTGGGGCCTCAGGATCAGATTGAGGGCTGTACTAGTTCAGACTATTTATTACCATAAGAAGTTAATAGTGAGTGACATATAACCATAACCTGGTTTTGTTTGGAGATTTTAATCTATTAAACATTCAGTTGTTTTTTCTTTAGCTTATAATGCCTGTTGACATGGTTACTGTTCTCTCTCTCATCTTCAACTACAGGAAGTGCAGCATGTCTCACTCTCTGCTATCATCTTCTCATCGATCTGCTCCACTCCTGCAGCACTCGGCTCCCTCACTGCAGCCTCAGAGCACCGCTTACACCTGCAACACACACAGCTGTCAGAGATGCTGTCCCTAACACACTCAACTGTTGGGACTGTCTGGGTTTTGGTTCTCTTATTATGTTATGTAGCAGAAGAGGGGCTGGGCTGTTACCCGTAGTGTCTGTTTGTTCCTCTGAACAGGAAGGGTGCGGTCAGGTCCAACAGGGCCAGCCGGCCACCAAATGGCGCCACTGGAACAACATTGGGGTAAGCAGCTGCCAGGTGCTGCGTCTCCTCCAGAGAGCACCCTGGAGGGAGGGAGGGGTTAAAATGAAAACATCATTTCCTTTGTTGCAGATCTGATGAGAAGAAAAGCCACAAAGTTTAATAGATTTCATCTTAAAAACAGAAAAACGCTGAAGGAAGTTGCAGACATTTCCTAGTCCTGACTGTTACCCATGAGGAAGATGAGTTGCTCAGTTTTGCCCTCCGTCATGAGTTTGGTGGACAGGTGGACACTGGGAGAGTGCTGTTGGGATGCTGAGGCATCTCCTGGTAGATCCACTTGTCCAGACAGCGCCCATGGAGGAGGAGCACAGGCCGCAGGGCGCCGGGTCGCCTCAGAGAAGATCCCGGCCAGCAGCTCTTCATCCGGGACGTCCTGACTGGGAACACAGTGGAGCTTTCATTCTCCGTGGACTAACACAGGACAGCTCACTTTATCTCTATAGTGCCAATTCACAACATGTTGTCTCAAGGCACTTTGCAGAAGAAAAAAAGAATCATTTCGGTTCAATCACAAATACATTACCATTGAGGACAGATCAAACAGTAAAGTTTTCTCAATTAATTATTTGGCAAAGTAACACACAGGTGTTGTTCAGCTGTAGTTGAACAACAGCTGTTCTGATTGTAAATTCATTTCCTTTGAATTTACAAGGAAATTTAGGCTGATGTTTTTGGCAGCTCTGTCAATAGTAGGAAGGAGAGAGGGTGGAGCACAGAAAGCTCTGCGTCCACCGTTTGCTCAAAGGACAAGGAAGGAAGAAAGGAACATATTCATGAAAACGGGAAGGAATATTTAAGCAGATCCTCTTCATTACACATCTGACCTCAGGGGGGCGCTACAGGCTCCTGGTGGTGGTCTAACGATGGGCGGTTTGTACCAGCTGACAGAATTATGCTTCTAGACATGAGATCCTTTATATGTTTTACTCATTGTCTAAACGTTTCTTTAAAATCCGAAATAAATATGAAATGACTAGATTTTATCTAAACTGTCTGTGACCAAGTGCAGACTCTGTCCTGTCTCACTGTCCCAGATTGTCCTAACAAAGCACTTTGCTCTAAGATGCTTTGTCCACATGTTCACCTGTACATAATTACTCCTGTCCACCTGTCCTGATGTTCACATGTCCACCTCATGGGTGGAAATCCCTGGAGGGTTTGGAGGGGTCCAGAACCCCCCAGTCATGGACTGAACTGCTTCCTTCACTACAGGCAGACTACAATTCTGAAACAATGCAGACGTCAACGTCATTGTCCACAACTTCTTCTGTTAGCTGATTGGTCTGGTAGAAAATCTACCAAAGGGAATCCACTTCAGAGGGAGAAAGGCCAGACTGAACTGTGAAGTGAAGTGAGATTTGAACTGAGCAGAATAGTGCAGGAAAGCAACAACCAGGTTAGGATTACAAAGACACAGACTTAGTTAAATAATATATTATATTATAGTACTCTTAGCAGCATTGTGATCTGAATTTGGACAGAACTATGTTTAATAGGCCTGTCACAATAACAAATTTTGCTGAGTGATTGTCTAAAAAATTATTGTGCTAAATAATAATATTGTTTCAAGACCTTTTGATGGAAATGACTAATAATGCATGCGATTTCCTGCCATAGATAGATACACTTTATTTTCAAAAGAACACATAACACTGGAACTGATAAACTAAATAAAGCAACCAAAAACAAAAATGAAATGGATTCTCAGTTTCCATTAACAAAAAACGTACTTGAATAAAAACTAAACAACATAAAGCCAAAGTGGAAATAAATACTGCATTCAACCAAAAGAGTGCAGATTATGAAGTCTGTATACTAGATTGTCCTTCAGTAATCACTAGATTTAAATAAAGAAGATGGGCACATCCGACTACCTGATGCAATAGTTCACACTACACGATTTTTTGCGCTATTTTCCCCTTATGATAATCTTAGATCGTTGGCCGATCTAAGATTGTCGCTGGTGATTTCGTAACCGATCATCCTGCAGTGTGTGGTGTGTTACGGTAGATCGTCGTGGCCGCTCCGATCTAAATCAGGGGTTTTCCCCGACTGGGAGCTTAACGCTGAATGTGACAGGTAGCCAATCAGAAAGCCGGATTCTCCTCCTGTTTTCTGAGGGGAAATTATGAAGGGAATCCCAAACAGCTGACACGGTGCAACCCGAAGTCCAGCAGACATTGGAGATGATGTGTGGAAACAACATTAATATTTATTCAACATTTCGTGCAAATAATATAGAAATGACAAGGAGAGGAGTTGGAGCCAAATTGCTACTGCAGTTGATAAACCCGGTAAGTTTTCAGCTGTTATTCGTTAACGTGACATAAATAGGTTATAATGATTTTCATTCAGTCGGGACTTTACGCTGACTAGCCACATGCATCACAGGTAGATTCTAGTAAAGCATTGATTAATGCCTGGTTTTAAAATTAGTTAACTGGACTTGTAGCCATTATTTTGTGCCCTAGTTGCTGGACACCACACGGCACGACGAACCCGATCGAACCGTTATACCGAGGATTTCTGTCGGCTAATGTGTCTCTCAGGTTTTGAAAATGGGCCGACAACTCGTGTAGTGTGAGCTGGACATTACACTAAGGACATGATGAAGGGAGGGTCAGTGGAGAGCACCGGAGTTGAGCCTTTTTTCATTCAGTGTCATCAAGAGAAGGGAAAAAAAAAAAGGCAGGAAGAGACGATAAAGCCGATAATTAAAATGAGGTCGATAGGTTTAATTTATCGTGCGATTAATTGATTTATCGTTTATCGTGACAGGCCTACCTGCTATATAACCATTTTATGTTCATTTATAGTGAACATCAATAACAAAGTATAAGAGCAAATAAANTCATGACAGTCTTATTCAACCCCCTTCAAATAAAGTGTTACCTGTTAAAATTTAAAATATCCAATAAATTTTGTTCCACCTCACAATTGTATCCCACTTGTTTTTTTATTACTCACAAAATAATTTTTTTTTTAGATCTTTAGATCTTTATTTGAAGCCTGAAAAGCGGCAAAAGGTTGAAAAGTTCAAATAGGCCAAATACCTTTGCAAGGCACTGTATGTATATACACATATATACATATACTCACACACATACATACATATGCATTTTACTTAAATGCATATATTATTTTGATATACTGTCTCAAAATAATGAGAATTTATTTTTTGTTGGGTTTTTTTGTTTTGTTTTACCGGAGTGGCGGAAATGGGCTTCCGTACTTTTTAGTATTGCAGCATTTCTCCCCCTTGCTCCTTTTTTCTGCGATTGTAGCATTTTATTTATGATTGCAGCTTTTTGTTTGTAGCATTTTATTTGTGGTTGCACCCCTTTTTGTTTGCATTTGTTTTGTTCATTGAAGGTTTTCGCTCTCATTTTCTGTTATTGCAGGGATTTTTTTATTTGCAGTGCTTTTGTTTGTTTTTTTTGTTGTTTTTTTACATGCGTTTGTAGCTTGTTTCGCTGTTTGTTATGTGTTCGCACCTGTCGGCCACAGCAGTTTGGCAATGAAACACTATAATCGTTTCTGAATGACTTGACTGAGCTGGTAGGTCTCGCTGTGGATTGCGCATGCCTCCTGTCACTCAAACTGGATACAGGCGACCCTGTATCGGAATGTATATTAATTCTTCATTAAGGTATGAATCAAGCTTAAAAACCAAAGTGATTCCTCTCCTTATGTAGTGTTGTGGAAAAAATTAACAAGAGTCTGGATGAGAAGAAAATGAGAAGAAATAAGAAATGAGAAGAAAATAAGAAATTTATAAAAACCTTGCAAGGTGAGAACAAAGATACAAAGGAGTCTGTCAAGTCTGCTCTGACCAACAGTGGCTCTGACTTCCTTTTATAGGTTCTGGTCAGAGAAGAGAGACTTAATTGGACAATAGATGTAAATCCCTGATTGTTATGTACTAACAATTCTGTGGAGCCCTACACAGATGGTCTGGACATTTTTCTATTACAGTAACTCAATATGAACTGTAAATATAATCTAGAATAGCAGTTAGAGGGCAGTGAGGGTGATATATCTTTGTGAACAAAGAATTTTGAGCACTGTGTGTGTTTACATTTCACATGCTGCCCAGCGCATGGCTGAGTCTGTTTGATAAAAGTTTATAGATGTGTTCCTCGGTTAGACGGTGCACTAATGGGTCAGTGGTTAGGCCTGTGGAGGAAAGGGGTGCTCACCTTTTAGTCACTCAGTATGCTGGCTTTTCCTTTTTAATTCATTATTTTAAGGCTACATGATTGACCAAACTGCACCATATCAAATGCTTTGTCAACTTACAGTCAGGCAGAGTTACTGCAAAGAACAGAAAAACTGGTCCCATCAAGCTCAGGCAACCAAAGCAATATCTGTGGTGCTTATTGAAAACTCGATAGACGCAAAATGAAAGAGCTACTTAAGCCTCAGAAATTAAATCTCTCTATTTGTTCCTCTGTATAGTGCAGAGACATGCACAGTGCAGCGGATTTAGCTCATCATGCAGGGCCGGTCCACGGTTGTATGGGCCCTTGAGCAGAATTTGACATAGGGGCCCCTTCTGCTGCCAAGATCAGCACCATTAAAAACAACAGATTTAGTGAAATGTGGGAGGGGGTTTAATTGGCCAAGTTTAAAAGCAATCAATTATAAATGTAATTTACTGAGATGCATTTGTCAACATACAGGGCTTAAGCAGTTGCTGACTTAATTTGGATTCAACAGAAGTTAAAATAAATTATATTTATTTTACTTGTATTTTTTGATTTGTTGTTTTTAAGACTCTATAATGGTGGGTTCAAGTATTTTCTGCAATGTCTCCCAATTACATATATAATTACCCAGTAATATTTTTACATTTTCTGTCAACTCGGCATCTTTTAAGACAAAATCATGGTGGATCACCTTGGTGCCTTAACCACCGGGCTTAGCAAGTCCTCTGGGGGAAACCCTGTACACTTGAAAGACAAAACTAATTTGAAAGTAACTTTTCAACAAAATCTATGAGTTTGTTGAAAAGTCAATTTCTTAATGTTGATTTTAAAAAGTACTAGTTCTACTGGTTGATTATTTCACTTAAAACATTTTTCCAATGTTATAAGTGAAATGACCTGCTAGTGGAACTTGAAGTGAAAACACTTTTTACAGTTCGTTAGTTCCATCAAAAATGTGATATTTTTGTTATAAGCAACAGTGATATAAGTAGGACATTTAAAAAGATGTTCTACTTGTATCACTTTATTACTTTGCTCTTCATTTACCAACACGTTTGACTAGAACTGACTGAATGGAAACAACTGATTGACAACTCAGGAGAACAAGCCATAATCTATGAATATATTTGGTAAATAAGAACACTTCAGCATATTAACAGTCCTCGATGTTGAAGTTTCTTTTTCACAAATGTTTAGTAGGTTAGCAAGTAAGTACGAAGTACAGACCCATTCTAATTTATTGAATAGGTCCATGGTTATGACAAGAATCAAGGTGGTTGATGAGAATCAGTTTCTTTGACCAAAACACATTTCTGTTTCTGAAATACAGACATCATTTACATGAAGCTTGTGTTCCCTCACCTCATAGTAGCTTCTCACAGCATTGCAGAAAGCTTCATCAGCGATAATCTGAGTTTCTCCATTCAGGAAGGCCAGGAAGTGCTCCTTCACTGTCTGCAGCTGCTGCTTGTTGACCTTACAGAGGAAGCAGGAGGTTCAACATTAAAACAGTGAGACTCAATGAGGAGTAAATAACTGGAAAAATGAGTTCCATATAGACATGGGGTATATAACAATATTCTATGGAAAATGGTAAAAACAAAGACATAACATTAACATTATTTTTATAATCAGATTGTGATGTTACCATTGTATTACACATGTTTTAATGAGGATAAAAGCAAACTGTGGTAACATGACCTGAACTTGTGATCTTTACATCAAATATTAATATGTCTAAGATTCATAGTCTGAACAAGCAACACAATGGATTGAACACTGGGAAAGCAAATTAAAAACATTTAATTTGCATTTTAATTTCAAGCCTTAACACATGAAATAGTTTGAACCCTGTTCCTGTGCCCATTGAGTGTGGCTCATCTGACAGAAAGTGACAAACACTACCTTTGCCTTTTCTGTGATAATGTTTGAGCTGGAAGCACAATCTTTTATGCTAGTCATCTTTACATTTAGTGGCAGTGTTTTCTCAAAATGCATTTAGTCAAACTTGAGTTTACATAGCACTGGTATTCTAGAGAACTTGGTTCTTCCACGCAATATGTAGTATATCTTAAACGTGGGCTGGATGATATTGCTGAAAAACATATGTCAATTCATTTATTGTTTTTCTTTGTTTTAAATATCTGAAATATTACCAATCCTCTTATCTACAGTTTCTTCTCAATTTCTCCCTTCACTCCACACCATTTATGATTTTTAAGCAGTTACTCAACAGGATTTTCCTAGATTGCCGATGAGTGAGTTAGTTGATGCCAACTTTGAGTAGCAGTTAGGCCTGTCACGATAAGAAATTTTGCTGAGCGATTAATTGTCTAAAAAATTATTGTGCTAAATAATAATATTGTTTCAAGTCCTTTTGATGGAAATGACTAATAATGCATGCGATTTCCTGCCATAGATAGATACACTTTATTTTCAAAAGAACACATAACACTGGAACTGATAAACTAAATAAAGCAACCAAAAACAAAAATGAAATGGATTCTCAGTTTCCATTAACAAAAAACGTACTTGAATAAAAACTAAACAACATAAAGCCAAAGTGGAAATAAATACTGCATTCAACCAAAAGAGTGCAGATTATGAAGTCTGTATACTAGATTGTCCTTCAGTAATCACTAGATTTAAATAAAGAAGATGGGCACATCCGACTACCTGATGCAATAGTTCACACTACACGATTTTTTGCGCTATTTTCCCCTTATGATAATCTTAGATCGTTGGCCGATCTAAGATTGTCGCTGGTGATTTCGTAACCGATCATCCTGCAGTGTGTGGTGTGTTACGGTAGATCGTCGTGGCCGCTCCGATCTAAATCAGGAGGTTTCCTCGACTGGAAGCTTAACGCAGCCTGTTGAATGTGACAGGTAGCCAATCAGAAAGCGCGGATTCTCCTCGGTGCTTTTTGAGGGGAAATTATGAAGGGAATCCCAAACAGCTGACACGGTGCAACCCGAAGTCCAGCAGACATTGGAGATGATATGTGGAAGCAACATTATTATTTATTCAACATTTTGTGCAAAGAATATAGAAATGACAAGGGGAGGAGTTGGAGCCAAATTGCTACCGCAGTTGATAAACCCGGTAAGTTTTCAGCTGTTCTTCGTTAACGTGACATAAAAAGGATACAATGATTTTCATTCAGTCAGGACTTTATGCCGACTCTAGCTAGCCACATGCATCACAGGTAGATTCTAGTAAAGCATTGATTACCATACCATACCATACCAGCTTTAATGCCTGATTTTAAAATTAGTTAACTGGACTTGTAGCCATTATTTTGTGCCCATGAGGCTGGAAACCACACGGCACGACGAACCCGATCGAACCGTTATACCGAGGATTTCTGTCGGCTAATGTGTCTCTCAGGTTTTGAAAATGGGCCGACAACTCGTGTAGTGTGAGCTGGACATTACACTAAGGACATGATGAAGGGAGGGTCAGTGGAGAGCACCGGAGTTGAGCCTTTTTTCATTCAGTGTCATCAATAGAAAGAAAAAAAGGCAGGAAGAGACGATAAAGCCGATAATTAAAATGAGATCGATAGGTTTAATTTATCGTGCGATTAATTGATTTATCGTTTATCGTGACAGGCCTAGTAGCATTATGATGTTGTTACACAAGATTGTAAAATGGGCAGTTTTACAATTTGTCTGTTTAACAGTTTATAAAATGGGCAGAAAGTTACATGGGCACTGGCACCTTTTAACTTGAAAAAGAACAAATCCACTGAATAACAGCAGGTAACTTCTGGTTTAGATATTTTGATTTTAGATATTTTGGATATTAGATATTTTGATTTTATTTTGCATTTAATGTGCTGTTGTGATTGCAATTGGGAATCAGAATTACGATTCCCAGTTGCTCAACATCTTTAATGTTGAGCAAATTGGATTATTAGATCAGAGGGGGCTGGTTCTGCTCCCACTGTTGGACCGTTGCTACACGCTACTGGTAGTAATATTTCACAGACGAAGCGCCATTTCTGCTCCACCCGCAGTGAACCCTCACACCGAAAGTCTGCTTAAAGCTGCAGCAGGTAACTTAAATAAACAAAACAAGATTTTACGTATGTATTAAAACTTTCGCAATGCAATAACATAAGACAGATAAAATCAATCTGCCTCCTCCTGGTATTCTGTAGAATTACTCCGCTCAGTCAGAAACAACCAATCAGAACCAGCATTAATCAGCTAGCTGATCTCTCAGGAAATTTTGATTCAGTAACTCGGGATTGTTTATTTTGATGCAACCTGCATTTGACTTTGAATGAATATTTATTCTTTCTTGACATTATTTGATATAGGCAGTGTTATGAGATTTATTTGACTCATGTATAATTTAAGTTGTTGAGAGCCTTACTGTTAAATATTATTTTACTGACTGCAGGTTTAGCAGTTGTCTTTTTGACTGAATAGCTGCTGTATTGTTCCTGCAAATATTTTGTAATTTATGTCTAAATTAGGTGAATTTATTGCCAGATCACATTTCCGTTTTGCCAAAACATAGCAGTATGTATACCTAAAGCGAGAAATTAACAGCCAATCCAGGTGATCGGCAGAGATCGGCCTCATTGGTTATGGTAGAACCTGACTGAAGCTGATGATTGGAGTAAAAAGAAGTAGAAACCCTTAGCAACATACTCTGTTGCTCTGACTGATCACTAAAGAATATCTTATTGGAATATCTTATTATTAAAAAAAAATACAAAATGTCAAAAAGTATGATTACTGCTGAATAGACAGTCCACGCAAAGTACAAGAGACCAAAGCACCAAGGCTGACATCCACAGTACCATCTTGTCTACAAATAAAATGAATTTATACCAATGCTGCTATATTTATATTCTTATCCATTTCCCTTCCAATAACATTGTAGGAAACAGGAAAATATGTTTTCAGAATGCTGAAGGTTTGTCACGGTAGAAACTTATCCCATAGTTGGGTTAAGATCTTGTCACAAATAGATACATGACTGGTTCCAAATGTGGTTTGGCTCATCTGTCTACATTCCATTTCCTCTGAAAGCAGTTAACACATGAACAATCCAAGCTACATCACATAACACAAGGTATATGTGGGTTGTGAATTATTTACACTTACTGACACTAAGTTAATATCCAAGCCCCGCCGTTGCTGAAAGCATGTGCACAACCTGATTACAAGTTTAATGACACAGTATCATGATTTAATACCTTCTAAGCTATTAAAGCAAATAGGCCTTTGAAGCGCTTTCGCTGCTCGAGCCTAAATATTAACAGTCTCATCGAAATATTGCAGGTGTTTTTGTGTTTTGCTTTAGTCCTTCGTCACTGTGTAAATCTGTTAAAATTTTTCTAAATTAGCTCCTATTTTAGACACTGAATTTAATTTCTTATTACTTTTTTGTACTGAAATACAATTTAAATAAAATTTTAACATTCTTGCTGAAAAAAGATAGTTTATAAAACAGTCATGTCAATGACACAGATGATCTCACAGTATCATGAGCGACACTGCCAGAGAATGGCACAGTTGGTAGCACTGTTGCCTTGCAGCAAGAAGGTCCTGAGTTCAATTCCTGGCCCTGGGTCTTTCTGCATGAAGTTTGCATGAACTGAACTGAGTCAATTGAACCAAACTGAAGCAATTTAATGACTCCTGGTGGTGCTCTGAGTTCAGTAGATGATTAGTGTGTCACACTCAATTTACAACATTCATGCCCTGTAAACAAACAAATACTTGAAACTGTTTAAACTAATCTATAACCTATGAAAGTTTGAATTGAATTATGGGTATTAAACAACTTTTCTATGATATTCTAACGGATCTGTAGCTGACTGATGGGAAGTGATGGATGGCTGTGAGAATAAAGGCAGACTGAGCTCCCAATGTTGTGGATTCTGACAGTGCCTCTGTTGCCAAGTATTCCAGTCTCACTTGAGTGCATTTATGTCTTTAATTGTTTTTGCATTATACACAATGCTCACACAATTGCCTAACGGACATAACATTAGATCTACAACACTTTATGCCATGTGTCCATGTTTTGGAAGCACTTTTAAAGTGGGAAACCTACTGATCTTTTGAAAACCAAATAAACTCAATGTGTTGTAGAAAAGAATGAAATTATTTGTTTTTCAGTCATTTGAGGTTAAGACTATGCTTAACTGTTCTGTGCATTATTTTCATTTCAAACCATGTAAAATTATGATGTTTCAAGGGTTCGCTAAAGAGTCCGCTCTGTTTTGGTTGAGACTTCTCTAATAGAAATTCCTGCACAGAGAAGCTAAAGCCTACTTGACCAGCATACTGTTCAGTCTCACCTTCTGCTGCCTTCGGGCCATGTCGGTGGGCTGCTTGGCGTTGAACGGATAGGAAATACACCGCAGAACAAACACATAGATCTGCAGCTTAGTTCTCCTCTCGTTTTCCTCCTTCTGAAGGCGCTCTCGCTCCTTCTTTTCCTCGTCACCTGCAGAGGGGCAGTCTTTTGCACCTTCACCGGGGGTTTCGGCAGGCTGCAGCTGCTGACCGCCCGCCCGCCCGCTGTCTCCCTGCTTTTCTGCCTCTGAATAGGCGGACGGTTTCCTCGGAGGCTCTCTGGTAACTTCTGTGTCGGACTCCCCGCCCGTGTCTTCACTAGAGGACGGATCCAGCATGGTGACAGGTGTTAAAACTCAGACAGACTAATAACACGGCAAAGTCCTGTTTACGATTTAGTTTGTTTTAGTTGACGTGGCGCTACCGCCAGCATATCTACTGTCAGCGCCGTTTTCCTGCTGGAACAAGTGCTGCGTTTGAAGTCACGACCCGGACTAAATGCTGTTTCTGATGGCGACGTCAGGGCAGGCGGAGTTTTCCGGGTAAACGTCGCCACGTGAGCTTCGTTCCTTCACGCACAGAAAATGTGTTGGTATGGTAGCACGCGCTCGAGAGCTATGCGTACAGGTGAGCAACCTGTGGCTGCAAGCAGAGATAGGTTGAAACAGAGCGAAGAGGTGTCACTCTGGGGTTTTTTAAATGCACCAAACGTTTTCCAAATTCATAGTTCTGTATGCTCAACATATGATTTAAAATTCCACCCATCCATTTATTATCTTACACGATTACCCCGGGAATCGCAAGGTGTGCTAGTGCCTATCTCCAACGGGCGGGTGGTAGGGTCACTTTGGACAGGTCGAGTTAAGATTCTGTTTTCCTATTTAGAAATAACATTAACAAAATCGAAATGAAGCTGCGCGCTTAGTTGTTGGAGAGCCTCCTCAGTTTTTTTTTTTTTAACTCCGATGTCTTTAATGATAACAAGCAATGTCGCCATGGTAACTCATGATTTCTATTTACTTGTTTCCACTGTGTAAGCTCTCTACACTATTTTCCAATTAAATCGTAATATGTTTTAAAAAGCCATACATTTCAACCAGGGGCGCAACTACATACTTTCTGAGGTGTATGCGAATATGTCATCGGCGCCCCTCCTCCCTTGCCCTCCCCTCCAGAACCCTCAAGCTCCCAGGCCTCTGGTAGAGGACCCGAGCTCAGAGGATGAAAGAGAGAGAGAGACCACCCGTGGAGGGTGAGAAGGGAATTTTTATATAAGGTGACATATATACATATCATATATATATATATATATATATATATATATATATATATATATAGCACAGAGGCCCTCATCCTGGCCGCCTAGGTTGTGCAAGGAGGCCTCTGAGACAGTCCAGCACATAACAGCAGGGTGCAAGATGCTGGCAGGGAAAGCGTACATGGAACGACATAACCAAGTGGCGGGCATAGTGTACAGGAACATCTGTGCAGAATATGGACTGGAAGCCCNATTAAAATGAGATCGATAGGTTTAATTTATCGTGCGATTAATTGATTTATCGTTTATCGTGACAGGCCTAATGGTTAACAGGGAATAAAATGTGTCCTGCTAAGTTCAAGCTAAGAGCCTGTCAGCTCTGCACACACCAGTGTGTTTAGATGACTGAAGTGGTTCAATCAGCTGTTTGGTGGGTTCAAATCTTCCATTATTTGCTGTTTTCTGCCTTGTATGACATCTGTTAAAACACAGCTGGGCTCCTAAAGACTGGACCAAACATGCCTTTCTACCAGCTGACAGATGACTTTAAATATGGAATGTTTTCAGCAGACTGACCTCTGTGGAGGATGGGTTATCCATATTTATTCTGTTCATCTACATAATTACCCATATAGTTAACAAATGTAGCTCATGTGCTGGAAGAATGAAAGATCAGCTGAGGTGATGATTTGTGGAGCTGCTTCTGGTGCTGAGTGGAGGACCTGGGAAGTGAGCTGTGATTGGAGCGTTTAGCAGGAGATGGGTCAGGACCCGGCGACAGTATGTGGACCTACATTGCTGAACAGCTGCAGCAGAAGAGTTTGAGGGCGCGGTGCAGCTGGCGGGGCTCATAAGAGCCTATCTGGGCTCGGACATGGTGAGTCTGGCCACCAGCACTCTGCTTCACCTGGGACAGAGTCACCAGCTGCAGCTGGTGGTCACAGCATCGCTCTGCAAAACAGGAAAATAAACTTCATAAAGACTTTCATCATGAATCCTCCAAAGTGTGTTCCAAAAACACATGGAGCCAAGTTGAGGACCTCGATCCTTCTTCAGTCAAATGTTTTTACTCCTGGCAGATTTCTGCTGTTTGTTTCTGTGTGTCAAGCAGGGGTCACGTTAATTTAATATTTTCCATATATGATCAGTATGTTTATATAATAGAAAAATCTGAAGTCTGTCAGTCATTTTGACAAATTACAATTCACACCCCTATTTAGTGCAAACATGCGGGTCACTTTCAACTTTTAGTATGGAGTTAATTCCAAAGGTAGTTAAATCAATCAAAAAAACATCCCTTCTGAATATAATCTCTGACACATGAATATAATCTGAATATAATCTCAGCTGTTCTTCGTTAACGTGACATAAATGATTTTCATTCAGTCAGGACTTTACGCTGACTCTAGCCACATGCATCACAGGTAGATTCTAGTAAAGCATTGATTAATGCCTGGTTTTAAAATTAGTTAACTGGACTTGTAGCCATTATTTTGTGCCCATTTGGCTGGAAACCACACGGCATGACGTGCCGTGAACTTAATGCATCTGACTGGTAGCTTACAGCGCACTGAAGTGTTATGGGCAGGAAGCTTTGGAACAAGTCTGGTTAAAAAGTGCAGGTGAACTGATGCTGGCAGCTCATAATTCGACTGATTTCATTGTTCTGTCAGTAGTTTTTATCACTGCTGAGAAAAGGTTAGATATGTTCATCTGTTTGATAGATGAGTGGTGAGATCTAGAGCATTCAACTTGTTGAATATTAATTAAGCTGCATAAAAATTAAATGCAACATAAAAGCCTATATCAATATAATTTAGAAATTATACTGATAGAATATGACAGAATATTTCTGACTATGTCAGTCAAAATGACAGAACAAAAAAGTCTAGTGGGACCTCTGATCTCAATATTCAGATCATCAAATATGTTTTAACTTCAGGCCAGGGTAACATGAGGAAATACAAAAAAAATGTCTCTTCAAATGATGGTTTCCTTTAATAAGGAGAAAATCAGTCCAAACCAGCCTGACAGACTGTGGACTGGTGACTGCTCTCCATCTCTGTGGATCTCTGCTTTCTGTTTCAGTTCAGATCAGGGGTGTCAAACTCCAGTCCTCAAGGGCCACTGTCCTGCAGTTTTCAGATGTGCCACAGGTACAAAACACTGGAATGAAATGGCTTAATTACTTCCTTCTTGGGTAGATAACTTCTCCAGAGCCTTGCTAATGACCTAATTTTTCTCTTCAGGTGGTGCAGCAGAGGATCATCTAAAGGTTGCAGGGCAGTGGCCCTCCAGGACTGGAGTTTGACACCTGTAGTTCAGACACACTGATGTGTGACAGTGTGGCAGTCCCACACCATCACACTGCCACCACCATGACTGACTAGTTTCTGAAATGCTGTGGTAATAACATGACACACACCTTAACGGAGTTTCCTCTTTTGTCATGCTACTTCACTCTCTGGTTTGTCTAAAAATTATTCTACACTAGTCCAGAACCAAACTCGGTTTACTGCTGTAATATTTCATCTTCATACCAGTTCTACAGTCCAGCACATCGCCTTCTGAAACAGAAACAGAGACGGAAATTATTGAGTGTGACAGATTGAGACCAAAGTCAAACTGCGGAGACGGCCATCATTAACAAAGAAAACAAAGACTAATTCTGTTCTAAATATTGAATCCAGTAAAATTCTAAATAATTCTAAGGACAGTTCAAACATCATCACCTTCTGCTGATACTCTCTATGACCTTCAGAGATGTGACTTTTAGGTGTCTTTCATACCTATAAACTCTGGTGGAGTGCTCCAGACTTCCAGCAGCTCAGAGTCGTTCAGCTCAGAAACTTCTTCGTCTTGGTGGTCTAAAAACGCCTCCGTGGCTCTAACAGCATCCAAACAAGATCAAAGCAAAGGATTGGGTTGATTTCTATAGATCCATTCATTGACAACACAATCAGAAGAGAATGAAACTTGCAAAAATACAAAAAAATTTGCAGGGTGCACAAGAGGACATAGAGGAATAAAAAGCAATCCTGGTTTACTTTCTCTATATTCTGTGAAAGTTTTGCAAGATACAAAGGGTTAATTTTGAGACATAATGACAATAATCAAAGCAAATGTGCATCCATGGAGGAAATTTATTCTTTCTTTGTCCAACCAAATAAACAATACATTTTCCCCGTGGTGCCTCTCTCCAGCAGTCATTGGGCTAGAGATGAGGTCACGTTGGACAGATTGCCAGTTTGGCACAGTAATTTATTTATTATATCATTATGTATTATTTCAGTCCAGCGAGAAGAAGAGTCACAGATACATCCAAGAATAAGCTTCTTTAACTCTAACCCTTCTATTTTACCATAATTACATCATTTTCTGAGACCCATCATAATCTGTGACAGCAGGGCCAGATAGCATGTATTTCTCTGCACTGTTTTGTTTTGAACTCTGCCATTATTAGGGTGCGTTCACACTGCAGCCTGAAGTCACTCAATTCCGATTTTTTGTCAAATCGTATTTTTTTTGCCGGCCGTTCACACTGGCACACATGTGCGACCTGTATGTGTTCTGCAGTCTGAACGGACAAACGACCTGAAAGTGTCCCGCATGCGCAGTAGAGGGCGCCATAGTGTCAACGTTCTCAGTGTTCTGCCAACCGCCATAGAAAGAAGAAGTGCTCAGTGTTTGCGGAAGTAAACATGGAGGCTAACGGTGGAGCTTAGCTTACATATCAGAAGTTGTTGTCCGGCCGGAGCAGCATATTAACAACTTAATCTTCATATAATCCGTCATGGTTGTTGTTTTTCTTCCCACTTGCGCTTATCAGGACGCAGAATAGTGAGATTTGTTGAGAATCAGTGACGTTCAGTTCGGATGAAGGCGACCTGGACGTTGGGTCACATTTGAATCGGATACGTATCGGATATGGGTCAGATTCGAAAATAATCCGAACTGTGCTTTTCAGACCGCCATGAAAAGATCGGATACAGGTCACATTACGTCAAAAAAAAAAAAAGAAGGCTTTTTTGACGTAATGCTGCAGTGTGAACACAGGTGACTAATGAAGAGGTGACAGAAATATTAAAAAAACGTTTTGAATCCCTTCCCTGTCCAACAAAGCACTTGGAATCATATTAATGGTTTACCTTTTTATTACATGGCTACAGTGGGCTGACATATTTGAAGGACAGTACAGACAGTAAAAGCCTTGGTCCATCAAACAGTGTTCAGCATTAAATACAAAAAATTGATCATATTTTCTCCCCTAATGTGATGCTAATAAAGAAGCCATGAAGCTTAAAACTTCTGATGATGCAGACTGTGTTTCCCCAGTTTATGTAGACTGTAGATAAGAAGAATCTAATCTAGTCATTAGACTCTTGTAGCCTAATTAAAATAAATTATTAGACCAGTTTTTTCTAGTTGATATAATAATGATAATAAATAAATAAATCTCTTCCATTGGTGCATTAGAGAGACATTATTTCATTATGTCTCTGTATAGAATTGACCCTTTGGATTTCAAAAAACCTTCACAGGATTTAAAGGAACCTGTTTGTGACAGGATCTGTCCAAGCGGCTCAAACAAACCTCCTGAGCTCCTGCACATCTGGGCTGTTTTCTGGCAGAAGCCGGATGCCTCTCCCGTATGATGTTCCTCCGTGGAGGTGGAAGGCCAGATGATCCAGCTCCACAGGCTGGCTGCTGGTGAGGCCCGGCACTCTACTGGATCCTGGGATTGCTCGGAGGTTATAGATTCTCAAAAAGGCACCAGGCTGACGGGACATAGGGGTCAGTTAAACACAGAGAAGGGTATGTCCAGAGGAATGCTCTCTTTGTGAGGGATAGAAGCAAAAACCTGAGTTACCATCTGGAACCGTAGCATGGCTATCTATTGGCCCAGGACTTGCAGTGAAGTAGACAAACTTGAGTGGTTCTTCTCACACTTTATGCTCAAAGGTCCAAATGTGATTTTACATCGGACATAACATGTGACTCAGATTACAGGAGGAACAATCGGTCCAGTAGACCAGGAACTAGTTTGATGACGTTTGCCTTGAAAAGTGAACTCTGTGAGTAAGTCAGTTGGAACTGAACAGACAGCTTCATCCACTAACTCCTTCACTTAAAAGCATTTTTAGTTTTGAATGCAATAGTTCAGAGTGAGATCAGCCCAGTACTTCTGGGGGAAAAAACTGTTGTAGTAACACTGAGACAATCTGAAGTGTGGGGCCTGCAGAGTGAGTGCTAGTATTTTGGAGCAGCTGTGAATGCCTGTGATGCCTTCTAAGAAATTAAATGAAAGTAAAAAGTTTAGAGAATGAAATAAGCAAGTGTTTATTTACTTAATAATTAAGAATGTGCATTGACACATTCAGAGGCTGTTCAAAGCAAAACTCAGAAGAACGCCATCCTCAGTCACGCTCCTCAAATATTCACTGAAATCAGCAGAGGTTTCGCCTGATAGTCTCCCTGACACCGTCTCTTCCATATTTCACACTTTTTAGGGTATTATTGATGGAGAGCAGAAAAAGATGACCAGAAAGGAAATTTTCCCTAAGCTGCAACTTCTTTAAATCCGCTGTTAAAGCCACAGTACGTAACATTTCCATACTTGTTAAAATCCTCATTATGTTGTGGTGGGAAAATTATTACAAGATAACATCTGCTGATCATGTTATATTAAATGTTTTCAAAATCTCACCAAAAGAACCTGCTTGGTTTACACACAAGGTTAGAAGTTGTTTTCCTGCAGCTGCATTGGAACTAGACTGCCTATTCCAAGTTTTGGATCCCTTATCCTTGGTATAGACCTATGTGTTGACTCTGCCTGTTGGAGTTTTCATTTGGAACTGTATCATTTTGTTGTTTTATTATCTTATCTTACAAGCTCTCTGTATTGTGCACAATATGCAAAATATACCTGATTGAATGATTTCATCTTACAGTACTTGCTGATTTATTTTTTTCCCACAACAATGTCGTGACAGCAGAATATGAAACAGATGATCCTTCATCTCCTCCCTGAATTACTATTTCCAAGAGAGGCTAAGTGAAACAAATCACAAAAGACTTCACATTAAAAGGTAGTTAATTCTACAAACTAGGGAAGGCTGTCATGACCAAGAGCCTTTCCTGTCTGCACTGATGACATTGGGCTACTGACTGGAAAAAACCTGTCCAAAGCATCTCGTAGCTGACAGCATCGCCACATCACTTCTGCTTCTAATATGCTTAACTACTCAAAGAAGTTAGAAAACAGGATCTTCAGTGCTATTCCCTTTATTTCTTGTATATACCGTACCATCTTCAAGAAAAACACTGGTAAGGCAGGGCTTTACAAAAACTGGAGATCAGAAATTGGAACTTTTATGAGTGGTTCCCTCATAAAATTCACTTCTGAATGTTTCTAAAAATCAAATAGGGGATACGTGTATAATGACGGTAACAGCTTTTGCTATGTATCAGGTTAAGTCAGTACTTCTCAAATAGCCCCAAGGGAGCGTGGCAAGGTGTCAGTAAATATCCGTACAGGTCAGCCTGTGTCTGGTTTGAGTGAAAGGAGGCACTTGCGATCTGCGCTGAGGTAAACTTCAGAAATCACCGCCCGAGATAGCACAGAGGTGCCAGCAATGTGACTGGTCCGGGCTAGGGCTGAAACAATTCCTCGAATGATTCGAGTACCTCGATTATTAAAATTCCTCGAGGAAAATTTATCTGCCTTGAAGCTTCGTTAAATTATGTTTTATTATGTAGCGCACCGTGTTCCGGCCAGATCATTATTTGTGGTGGGCAGCGCTTTTACTTCCACCTATGAATTGTTGTGAAGTGCTAGCAGCATGGTGTTGAATTGTGTGGCGTTTTGTCAGGGTTTGGGGACAAATAAGGATTGTTGAATTTGGCGGAGTGATGATTGGAGTACAACAGCTTTTGCGCTGTCGAAACCAGGTCATCACGGTTTTGGAGCGAACGGTAGAGAGAGAGATCCGATTCCTCGATTAATCGTAAAAATATTCTATAGAGTACTCGATTACTAAAATATTCTTTTACAACAGTCCTAGTCTGCGGTCCTGGCTTTGTGGCTTGTTAAGCACATCAATTATAAACCCTTCTTTTAGGAATAATTTTGCTCTGCCAGTGAAACGCTCAGCACAAAAAGATGCTAGCAGTCCAGCTCATTAAAAAAAAAAAAAAAAGAAATTCTAAAAACAAGAACAAGCAACGCTTAGCCTGGCCTGGAGTGAAGTGGGAAGGAGGGGAAGAAAAGCCTGGTGGGCCGCCAGGCTTATAATACACTTTCATCACTCTGAGTCAAAAATTATTTGTTTCAGTTTTTAAAGAACTTACTGAAATAAAAAACATCTTTGATGATATTAAAATTTCTTGAAATGCACTTGTTCTTTAGCCTGACCAACTCACTGAAAATAGGAACTCAAGTTAATTTAGTTTATTCATATAGCGTCAAATCACAACAAATATTGTCTTGAGGGTGAGGCACTTTCCAGATAAGTCACCTTCCTAACCATAACCCCTAGACTTCTACCTCATTTAATTCTCTGCTATGGGATACATCTACAACAAAGCCTTTAAAAACATTTGTACTGAACAGAGGACTAACTAAATGTGAAGCCTTGAGCATTTCATCTTTTGAACCTGTGCTAAAAGTTCATGCTGCATTGATATGCATAAGAAGCAGGGAGGAAACAACAGAGATGCCCTGCAAGACAACTCGGAGCTTCCTGTGTGGCTACGTGGGCTGCAGCAGCGGGTCAAAGAGCTGGTATTTTGTGAATTATCAGTTTAGACTTATTTGTGACAATTACAGGTTGTCTGACCTTGCAGGCAAAGGACAATCTTTTCCTTCTTCCTGCTTTCTTTGCAACTCCAGATGGATTGCTTGATTGTCACCAAATGAGTCACCTTCAAACATTTAAAGGTGACTTATTATGCTTCCTTAAACAATTTAGGGTGGGTTACAAAACACATTCATTACATTTTATGCACAAAATCATTCTTAGATAATGAGATTTCAGTCTGGTCAGTTCTTCCTATTGAATTCTTTTTAGAATGTTTTAGGGCCTCTTGTCACTTTAAATAAGATGTTGCTAGTTGATGTTTACACTCACACCTGAACATAGCTGCAAACAGATGCGCAATTATACAACCATACATCTTTGAAAAGCGGCTTTGTGGGGTGGGGTGCAGGGCCTGTTGATTTGTGACATTACATTAGGGGGGGGGTTGAAACAGGTCATCGTACGAACACCAGAAACATAAACTAATTAGAAAAACTGGCTAGGTGTTTTTTAAGCACTGGGACTGTTTTTTAGAAGCAGTAAACATTTGCAGGCTTTGCAAAACTTGCAAAATGTGATTTTTAAAATTTTTTTAAACACCAACCTTTGTGTCTCCACATTTTAGAAGACACTTAAGTGACAATGAACTGTTCTGGGGAACTTTAGCGGTAGATGTAGTTATTAACTCAAGTGGAAAACTTCCCAAAGATAACTCTCTGAACTCTGACCTTTAGGTGTCTGGAAACCTCCACGTGGTTGTCGTACACAAGGACGTTTGCAATGTGGCTCTCTTTGTATTTGGAGAAAGAAGATGGCCCTTCTGTGCTGTTTGGCTCAACAATGACTTTCAGCAGGGCGTGAGGACATCTGGTCCCATCCCAGACCTAGGAGATAGGAAACCAGTTAGGATTTATTGGTTTCATCTGTCCCAAACTAAATGAAGCTCAGAGTTCTGCTAAATGGATCCATGTCTGCCTTTGTAACATGTTGAAGAGTGGGAGCTATGCCACAAATAATCAAACTTCCCCTTACTCTGAGCAATGTGCAGGTGGAGTCAATGGAGGCTTTGGCCAGCAGCTGGCAGATGAGGTCAAAGTAGGCGTTGGGCTGAACGGCAGATAGAGGGACAGCAGCAGAGACTGAGGAAAGCAGAGCCTGGCAGGCAGCCCAGGCCCTCAGCTCCTCTATGGTGCGCCGGTCATCTTCGTCCAACTGCAAGCTTTTACTAGATGTCCGAGGCTCCATACCTCCACCCACTGTGCCGCTAAACGTCACCACAGAGAACCCGAATGTGTTGACTAATGTGAGGGAGGAGTTGTATAAATGCACCTATGCAGAAAAGATTGCTTTCATTTGGGGTTCCTAATATAAGCTTCTTGTTCTGCAGTGTGGAAGATTTTTATGGTAGGATACAGAAAATATTTATTTATTTTATTTGGTCAGTACAGAAAGTATTCAGACTCCTTTAAATGTTTCACTCTTAGTTTCATTGCAGCCATTTGCTAATATAAATTTTTTTTATTATTTCTCATGAATGTACACTCAGCATCCCATCTTGACAGAAAAAAAAGAAATTTAGAAATTTCTGCAAATTTATCCAAAAAGAAAAACTGAAATATCACATTGTCATAAGCATTCAGATATTTTGCTGACACTCATATTTAACTCGCATGATGTCCATTTTTTCTGATCCTCCTTGAGATGGTTCAACTTTGACTAATGAACATCCTACAATTCCAGATCAACTCACTGCTCATTACAATACTCATTTAACCCATATTCTCAATTTCCGTGTTCCAGTTAAAACATGATCTGTTAACTCATTCTGCCCTTGATTTACTCCTGAACTCCGGTCCATCAAATGTCATCAATCCCCCCCGAATTGTGAAAGTGTTGTGGTTCGAACAAAGGTAAGTTCTTGGCTCCTTTATTTTATATAAGTTCTTAATGTATATTCCTTTACAATCAATCAGAATGTTGTTTGGTGTAAGTATTAAAAAGTCTGAATGCGTTATTTTTAAAGTACTAACTGATATGTGTTTAACTGGTTTACAAAGATCCAAGTTTGAATTGGTTAAATGAAGCCTAGGCGAAAATTCAGCCTGGAAGACTATATTCATCCCAACGGCCCAACCAAGATGTCGTCATGTGCCTCGATTCCAACCTATTAGTGATGGTCTCCTCCTCCAATCATCAAGCGTCGCTCCCTTGATAAGGTCCAGCTGTTTATCGGCATCCGCTCGTTGGCTGAGGTTCAACCTTCCTCCACCTTCAGCCCAAGACTTCTCCAATATCCATTCAGTCTTCGGCATCCTCTCCACCACCAGGGTCGGGCCCCAGGGGGAAAGACGTCTCTAATCTACACACAGCGGCTCATTCTCTCTGGCAGTGGTTTTCAGTACAACGTCTTCCTTCTGGGTCCGAGCGCCAAAGACTTTCATTTGTCAATTAAACTCTCTTTCTCTGTGCACGAGTCTCTCCAGGTTAAAATGGCAATTCTACCTCATTTTTACTTCCTTTGAGCTAGTCTATCGTAGAAAGACTTAGAATTTGTCATTTTACACATGTACAATGAAAGAAAATCCAAATAGAAACAGTGCAAATGTTTGAAATATGTACAATAAAAACAAATATGTGACCCCTGGGGCAGACACCAGCACTCCTCGCAAAAAGCGTGTTAGAAAACAGATGGATAGAAACGTAAATTTCCATCCATCCATATATGTCATACTTGCCACTTTAAATCAATTAAATTTATATACACACATACACAAATAGTAAGCTAATGTGAGAGTACATGGTGTTTATTGCCTTTGGTGCACCTGTAGTGCCTCCTTGAGGAAACAGGTTAAACAAACCTTGATTGTTTTACTTCACATGAATCAGAGAAATCAGGTTTAAATGATGAAGTATTGTGATTTTTAAATAAGTATATCACAGATACTCAAGGAAGTAGACAATTAGGTGAAATATGCCAATTCCCAAATTGGAAGCTACAATCAAAACCAAACTTCAGCTTTGTAACTAATTACCTCTTTGAAATTACAATGTCATGGTGGTTCTACTATAATAAAATTCAGTTCAACTACAGTTATCTGTAGAATCACATGTATACATTTTTTATATGTTTACATCTTTTCATTTACCATTTTAATTGTGTGTTTGCAGGTTATGCACTTTCTGACAGTCTGAGTCGCCGTTAACACCGTGGGTCATGCTGAGCAACACTGGCACTGTTGAGTGTGCACATTGTACCTGCATGGCAGGGGCAGCAGAGACCTGCACCCACATAGGTGCCGTATGTTTTAAGGTGGAAGCAACAGTGAGGATACAAGGCACAAAAACTGTTACAGATGAGCCAGCATACTGGACATTACCTGGCAATCTGACAAAGACTCACCCAGAAGTTGGCCATAAAATTGACTATATTACTTCAGCTTCTTAAAAGAAGGTACTTGACCAAAAAAATCCATGCTGAAGTCTCAACACCAGCCAAAAGAAGCCGTCCACAAAAAAGAAAAATCACACAAACAAATCTGGAAGTTTTGGTTCATCTGCTTGACACACTACTAGAGTAAGGCTCAGTCACTTGCATCTCTGTACAACAAAAACATACAGTCGCATGACTTGTCAGCTATTGTGCTGTGCAGTGAAAAATACAAAGATGCTGCAATAGTGACTGATAAAGCTATTGAAAAGCACACAGGACTGCAGCACAAGTGTTCTGCCTGGAGTGAATGTCGAGCTGGACGAATTACAGCTTCCACTATGCATGCTGTATTTGCCACCTGTTTGGAAAGCCCAGCACTAACAGTTGTTAAACAGGTGTGCAACCCAGGCAATAATACCGTGTCTACAGAACAAACAAAATGGCTTGTGAATCATGAGGGTGATGCACAAAAGGCCTACATTATAATTAAAGATAGCAGTCACAAAAATCTAAAAGTTAAATCATGTGGTTTCTTCATAAACACCAACTTCCCTGAACTTGGAGCATCTCCTGATGGAATCACAACGTGTGACTGCTGTGGGAATGGCTACGTGGAGATAAAGTGTCCTTACAAATATAGGACATCCTGCATACGGCAGGTTGCGGATGCAAAAGACAAAAACTTTTGCCTTCAGCTGTCTGGCAATGAACTTCACTTGAAGAAACATCATCCATATTATGCACAGATACAAACTGATATTTTTGTAACAAAATCAAACCACTGTGACCTTGTTGTGTGGACGCAGAAAGACATGGCTGTTGTCTGTATCTTTCCAGATCAGGAATTGTGATCTACAAAACCCACAAAGCTTCCTTAAAAATACTTGCCTTCCAGAGCTTGTAGGTAGATATTTCTCAGAGCACACCTGTACTCCAGCTTCTAGGGAGACATATTAGTCTAACAGCATGCAAGTCATGCTATTAGATGACTTGCATGCTAATAAAGGCATACTTTATTTTTTTTACTGTCTCATACAGAGCTGTCGGCTAGTGCTAACGCTCAGCCGCTCCCTCCCGTTTCAAACTCTTCTTATTACAGTAAGAGTTAGAGTTAAATATAATTAAAATATTGGCTACCTTCGACAGGAAAAGGAACCAAGTCTATGAAAGCAATGTAGCAGTTTTGCTAGTTTTGATTTCCAAGGCATAAGGTGGCAGTTTATCATGATTCAGCCAAAGTAATGAAATAATGAACCGAGGACTGATTTTTATTGGCAATGTGTTTCTTCCCATTAAAATATGTGTTAAATGTCTTTTGCTTTAAGTATTTACTTACTGGAGGGTTTTTTGTTTGTGCTGCAGAGCCACAGCTACATCTAGTTCAGGTGTCGGCAACCCAAAATGTTGAAAGAGTCATATTGGACCAAAAAAACAAAAAAAAATCTGTTTAAAAGCCTAAATAAGGCTTATAATGGAGGCAAAACAGGTTTTAAGTGTTTATATTAGCTTTTTTTATCAAAATGATTAAGTGTATACATAATTAGCATTCGTGATTAAATGTTTATTTTCCCTGCAGTACGTCCTGGAACGAATGTCGCACCACGTGACTACTCTGTTGTACAATGTACATTTTTATTACGAAGATCGACAGGGAAAGGGTCTTTTTTTCCCCTTTTGGAACTTGGAAAATCTGCTCCCAAATGCAGTTTGCATAATGATTGCTCTTTGTCACGTTAAGTGTGTGATCGAAAAAACAGCAAAATGAACATGCATAACGTGCCGCTTATCCAGGCAACAAACGGATTTTTACAACCTGCAGTTATAAAAATAAAGCAGTAGCCTTTTGAAAAGGTAGAGTACATAAAATTAAATTAATACAGTTTAAGTTTGATTTCTGTGCAAATGCCAAGCAAGTCAGTGTAAGGATAAAACACAGCATCCTTCTGTTTTGACACACAACCAACGCAGCCATCATTGGACCTGAGTATAGAGGATGCTAAACACAATAATATCGCTAAGTGTCATTCTAAATATATAGTTACAAAAATCACTAATGAGTTTATAAAAACAACCACTTTGTTCCTATGGCAGGATTGTGTTCTTGTGTGTTTAATGTGACTTCTGTTTACAGACATCACTGGACAGCTTCTCAACATCGGGCATCTAAGATATAACTTTAATCGTAACGCGGCAGCTAATGTAGCGCCTTCCCTGGAAATGTCTTTCTGTATTTTTCAGACTATAAGCCACTACTTTTTCCCCACACTTTGAACCATGCGTCTTATAGACCGGTGTGGCTCATATATGTACGTTTCCAGTTTTTTTCAAAAAATTTGTACCTGTGCGACTTTTAGTAAGGTGCGCTCCGGAAAGTACGGTACTCTTTTTGTTATTTGACAACTTCTCTCTACACAGCAAACATTCAGGTAATCCTTCCGCATTGGCAATGAATGCAAATGATTCGGTCCATGAATTGTAGATGTTCAGCTATTTTTCTCTTTTCCCCTTTGCTATCCATGGTCCATCCCACACCTGTCGGTTTGTTTACAGCCACCTGCCTCACACCCCACCCAGCTGAAAGAAACATGTCACAGGCTATGACACAAATCTTTGTTGACAGAAATGTTGAAATTTATATTTATTCTACACATTTTTATAGCATTGGAAAATGTTAAGAATGATTGTCTCATGTTTGTCCTCCTACAGAAACTATATTAAAACAAAAAAGTATATTTCCCAACCCCATCTTTTTCAATTTTCAAACATTTTTGAAAAAGCTCCAGAGAGCCACTAGGGCAGCGCTAAAGAGCCACATGCACATGTTGCCGACCCCTGAACTAGCTCCTCACTTCAGCGGCTCTAATGGAGCCTGTGTCATTCAGCAGCCCAGCTGTTGCTCCTCCTACACTTTGGACTGAACCATTGTTCTAACAATAGTGGGGGGGGACCTAAAAATGTATTCTTATTTTTTTCTTAGATGAATGGCAGATTTACTTCGTTCTTTGTTTCTATTGCCTTTTATAAACTGATATTGTTTAAATACAAGGGTTTCTTTCATGATTTCTTGGGGGGAGGGGGGGGGGGCGCAATTCTAGACTTTTCCAAGATTGGGGGGGGAGGGTCCGGACCCCACTGGCCCCCCCGGGATTTACGCCTATGTTTACAGTAATGGTATAACCCAGATGTCCACTGTCAAAACTCCAGAGTATGCTACACAAAAAATATAAGCCCTACCTAAACTAGGTTGACCCACTAAGATGAACTCAACAGAAACTAAACATGAGTATACCAGGACAAAATCATAGCAAAAATTTATGACACAACACAAACAAAGCGAATTTAGACACTCACAAGAATGGACATGTCTGGAGCAAACTTGCAGGTATCTTGGGATGTCGGAGAACGTAACATCAGGACGTCTAATGTGCCCATGCCATTCATTTTCTTTTTGTTAGCTCTGATACCTTAGACCCCTCGCGTTGTTTCCAGTCAGGGAATCAGTGAAACGATTGTCTGTTTTCCATACAAAGCTGAAGTTGGTTTCCGATTCCAACTCCCGATTTGAGAAATGGCTAAAGGGTGATTCCACCCAATTTTTCACTACCTTCCGCAACTTTAATCGGCTAAAAACTACAGCACCTATCCCTATTCAAACCTGGACTGGATTATTCTGCTCACATAGCAGAATATTTAGAACCATGTTTGTGAAACTTTTTTTCTGATTTGTGAAGCTTCAGTAAAGGCTGATTTTACCACTTTTTTGCATCTGGATCATACTAGAATTGCTCCAGCTCCAAACCTACAACTCATAGATTCTTGAAACCTGGACTGTATCATTCTGCTGTAATAGCAGAATATTTATAACCATGTTTGGGATTTGTGAAACCTTTTTCTGATTTGTGAAACTGCAATAAAGGGCAATTTTTACCCTTTTTTACATTTAGATCATATTAGAACTGCTCTATATCCAAAACTACAACACCTAGACACTTTAAACCTGCAATGGATTATTCTAAACTAATAGCAGAATATATATAACCATATTACTAAAATCACGATACCCTCACTGTGTATCCCTCTGAAAAATGAACCCATTTAAATAAAGAAATCCCTCCATGGTGATACCACGATAGAGAGCGTTCATTTTATAGCGATAACACCGGAGCTGTAAGTGGTCCGGTATGAAACGGGTGTGATAGAACAACGGAACCACAGCATTTTTAAATTTCAATAATCAGAATACCGAAATTGTTTCCATTGTTTTAAAAGGTTTATGTCAGTCTGCCTTTTCCCCATCGATTAATGGGTTAAAAAAAAACAAAACAAAAAAACAGGAGAAGCGGGACATAAAACGGAGCGACGAACTAGATGTGAATTATGGCATAAAAACTCCGACGCTGAACAGTGAAAAATCAACACATGATGTGAAACATGACGATTAGGCGGCGCAGCAGGTGATGAGTGAAGATTACTGATGGTGAGCGTCAATAAATGATAAAATAAATCTAGCAACAGGAAAGAACTAAAGTGGACATAGCAATAAACCAAGAGAGGATAATACTAATCAAAGGAAACTAAACACGACACTTTCAATTTGACTCATTAGGATTTGATTAAGAACCAGATTTGTTCTTTGTAATTTCTGTCCAGTAAAACTATTAATCTATAAATCAATAGACAGGTCTATATAAAGATATAATCCATGTTTCTGTCTCATATTTGTATGGCATTAAAAGGACCTGGAACTTTTGTTTTTCCACTGAAAGCTCTGGTTTGCACAATAAATGCCATGTGGGTGAAATTTTATGGATGATACTCTGATGTCCCATTCTCCTGAAGGCAGCACAGAGCTGCGCCACCAGAAACTGACAAACACTGAAGAGAAGAAGAGCTATGATTAATGTAGTTACAGTTCTATCCATGTTTTAATGTTGCAGAGCTCAGTTGTTTTGCAAATAGTTCAAAGTTTAAACTGGCATGTTGAACATCTTTTATCTGGTCATTTTGTGCAAGATTTAACAACTAGAAAATGGCACAAAATAAGAATATTTTTTCCATTGATTGGCTGCTGTTGGCCTACTGATTTTAACTTGAATGTTCATTGCATTTTTCATAGACGCCTGTGAAAATAATTTCTATTCCCATGGCTTCTTTGTTCTCTGGGAAATTATTTTTGATGATAAATACAGAAACAAGGATAAAAATCAAAACATCTACAATAGTGATAGTAACATTAAAAATAAAATAATAGTACAAAGTAGCCTACAAATTCTTTGGTGGGGGAGGGGGCAGAGAGGGACCTGGATATTGGATAGGGGGACGCTGGCCCGAAAAAGGTTGAGAAACACTGGTCTATATTCATCCTCACTAACATTGTTCAGCCTGGGATTTGCATCTTCCCTCTCACGTCTGTATCTTTACAAGAGGTTTTGGTTCTAAGGACGGTGGAGTATCAGGTTGAGGATGTTTTAAAGAGTCGCTGGTTGAAAGCAGCTCACCAAGGCTGCGTAGTGTCTGTCTCTAGTGTCGGTCTGTAGCTTTCTTGGGGGTCCTATTTACATCCCGCCACGACAATTTAGCTGACCTTAATATTTCCTGTGTTTTATTTTGGTCATTATTGTTACACTTAGTGTTGATATGTGTGTGATTGGTGTGTTGACGGACATTTAGAGAAATACGGAGCAAATCACGTCCCGTATCGGTTCAATACGGGACGCAACATTTAACAGCCAAATACGGGACAATTCCGTATTTTACGGAACGGGTGGCAACCCTAGTCATATCTCATCCAACGTAAATAATCTGAATCCCATCTTTCCCCCATGGCTTGAGGTGTGCCCCAGGGCACTGTCCTGGGACCCCTTCTTTTTATCAACTACCTTCTCCCCCTTGGCAATATCTTCTATAAATGTAACACCTATTTCCATTGCTTTGCTGATGACACCCAGCTGTTCTTATCCACTGCACAGACCTGAAAAAGGCTCCACCAACATTCACCATCCAACCTGACGGAACTAGAGAGGATCTGCAAGGAAGAATGGCAGTGGATCCCCAAATCCAGGTGTTGAAAACTTGTTGCATCATTCCCGAGAAGACTTGTGGCTGTACTAGCTCACAAGGGCGTATCTACTCAATACTGAGCAAAGCGACTGAATACTTAACCATGTGATATTTCCAGTTTTCTTTTTTAAATAGAGAAAATCTCTGCATTTTTGTTTTTTTCTGTACATTCATGACAAATATGAACTTATTTGATTTTAGAAAATGCCTGCAATAAAAAGAAGAGTGAAAATACTTTCTGTACCCACTATAGTAAGTGCAGACCTTGACTCTGTGCATACGGATAATGTCTCCAGTCTGAAAGATTCTGGGGTGGTCTTCCAGCTTCTCACAGAAGATGGTGCAGCCGATTTTATGCTCAGACTGATCGGTGATCTTCAGGCTGGAGCAGTAATCTGTGGAGACAGAAGTCTGATAAGCTGCAGCTCAGCTCTGTCACACTGCTATGAAAAGCTAAAAGCAGCAGGTGGCTGTTGTGTTAGTTTTTGTCTCACTGAAATGGTTCACACCAACAAACACAGTAATACCGAGCAACGACAATCTGAAGAAATAACTTTGAAATGATGATTTTATGTAAGGAAACAAAGCTCTCCGCACCAAGCTGGCCCTATATAAAAATATATCACTCCTTATTAAAAATGATAAAATAACTGTGATTAATAAGATTGTTTTTTTTATTTTACAAGCCACATAATGTCCTGATTTTTGCCAGGCTTGGCAGATGCCCAACTGACATCAGCCCCCCATCTCAAGAAATTCAAGAGCACCACCACAGGAACAACCAGGATCCAAACATGGAAGAGAAGAGAGCGTCAGTGAATCCAGGAGGTCACAGAAAAGCCCAGAATTAGGCTTAAGGTCAGATTCAACAACAGGATGGGCAAAATGGCTTCCAGGGGACAGTTCCAGTGACAGAACCTGAACTGACCCAAAAAACACACAAAAGCCTATCTCACACTGACCATAAACCAACTTGGTGATCTCAAAAACCTTTTGGGAAATGTTCTGTGGACCAACAGGACAAAAGTGGACATTTGTAAGGTGGGTGTCATGTTCTACCTAGTGGGAAGCCAACAGTAAAACACAGTGGTAGTAGTGTCATGGTATTGGGCTGCTTTGGATCTTCAGCACCTGGATACCTTGTGGAAGTCCAGACAACAGTTTGCTACATTGCTAAAGCAACCCACAGGTCCACCTCTGGTTGATTCCAAGGAAAATGTGGCCTAGTCAAGGTCCTGACTCAAGATGTAAAAAGCATCATCTATAATTATTATAACGTACATCAGTGAGTGTGGGTATGTATGTATGTTAGTTATTATATTTAGATGACCAGAAGAAATATATTAAACTTTTTCATAGCAATCTAATTTCTTGAGATGTGGCTGTATGTATAATTTTGACCTTGCATTGAGTAATTTCAAGAACCCAATTCTTGTTTTTAAAATTGATTTAGTTTCTATCTTATGCCATCATCTAACCTCCAAAGAGCAAAGGTTCTTATATATCAATAAAAGCTAAGATATAATCACAAACCATTCAACTTGTTGCTAAGTCTGGGGAACCGCTCAACTTTTATCCAAGGAAAGATGCTAACAGGAGCAGCAGAAAGAATAGCCAGCAGCTAAAGTTGGAATATGCTCCTCCATTTATTTAAAAGACCTGTTTTCTAAACTGGATTATTACATAGAAAAAAGCAAATACACATGACTAAGATGATGAGACTGAGCAGGATGTACTGATCATTTGCACATCAACATGTAGCAGCAGGCTCTTATAGAAACTTTTCTCTCCTAATGATGATTATATTAGTTCTGTTGAAGTAGTTCTTCATTTCCAATGTTACACGTCTCTTCCTGACCGTGGACTAGAAGAGTTAACGCCTTCTAGTCCAAGGTGTTAACGCTTTGTCTAGAAGTCATTCTGAGCTCTACTGGGACACTGACCTGTGCCACGGCTCTTAAATGGTTGCTTGAAAAACACCACCACTCCATAGACATTCACCACCGCCATGTTCTTCAGCTCATCCAGCCGCACGTATGTATACCTAGGAGCTCTAGGGGTCCTGAGGTCCTGAGAGGAAATGCAAAGTACCACACAGCTGGTCCATAATCTGGGAGTGTGTGCTCATTCTTAGTAACAGACATATACATACAGTACAGACCAAAAGTTTGGACACCTTTTCATTCAGAGTTTTCTTCATTTTCATAACTATGAAAATTATAGATTCACACTGAAGGCATCAAAACTATGAATGAATCACAACATGTGGAATTATATACTTAACAAAAATGTGTGAAACAACTGAAAATACGCCTTATATTCTAGGTTCTTCAAAGTAGCAACCTTTTGCTTTGATTACTGCTTCGCATACTCTTGGCATTCTCTTGATGAGCTTCAAGAGGTTGTCACCTGAAATGGTCTTCCAACAGTCTTGAAGGAGTTCCCAGAGATGCTTAGCACTCGTTGAGCCTTTTGCCTTCACTCTGCGGTCCAGCTCACCCCAAACCATCTCGATTGGGTTCAGGTCCGGTGACTGTGGAGGCCAGGTCATCTGGCGCAGCACCCCATCACTCTCCTTCTTTGTCAAATAGCCCTTACACAGCCTGGAGGTGTGTTTGGGGTCATTGTCCTGTTGAAAAATAAATGATGGTCCAACTAAACGCAAATCGGATGAAATAGCATGCCACTGCAAGATGCTGTGGTAGCCATGTTGGTTCAGTATGCCTTCAATTTTGAATAAATCCCCAACAGTGTCACCAGCAAAGCACCCCCACACCATCACACCTCCTCCTCCATGCTTCACGTTGGGAACCAGGCATGTAGAACTCTGTGTGGCATTGACCTGGTCTCTGATCTGAGCTGCTGTTAACCTGCGATTTCTGAGGCTTGTGACTCGGATAGACTTATCCTCCCCAGCAGAGGTGACTCCTGGTCTTCCTTTCCTGGGGCGGTCCTCATGTGAGCCAGTTTCTTTGTAGCGCTTGATGGTTTTTGCGACTGCACTTGGGGACACTTTCAAAGTTTTTCCAACTTTTCGGACTGACTGACCTTCATTTCTTAAAGTAATGATGGCCACTCGTTTTTCTTTACTTAGCTGCTTTTGTCTTGCCATAATACCAATTCTAACACTCTATTCAGTAGGACTATCAGCTGTGTGTCCACCTGACTTCTGCACAACACAACTGATGGTCCCAACCCCATTTATAAGGCAAGAAATCCCACTTATTAACCTGACAGGGCACAGCTGTGAAGTGAAAATCATTTCAGGTGACGACCTCTTGAAACTCATCAAGAGAATGCAGAGTGTGCAAAGCAGTAATCACAGCAAAATGTGGCTACTTTGAAGAAACTAGAATCCAAGGTGTATTTTCAGTTGTTTTACACTTTTTTGTTTAGTACATTTTTCCACGTGTTAATTCATGTGTTAATGCCTTCAGTGTGAATCTACAATGTCAATATTCATGAAAATAAAAGAAACTCATTGAACGAGGTGTGTCCAAACTTTTGGTCTGTACTGTATATGTACACATATACATATTTCAGTTATATGCGTTGAGGTTCGTAGCTGGTGAGGCACTGACTTAATCAAATTCACAAATATAAATACCTTGCATGTTATTGTTTACATATGGAAATTACGTGTATGTGCAGAACGTTGGAGGGCAATAAGACTATACTTTTACATGTCATCCATAGCCACGCTGCCATCATAGCACAATTACGTTAAATCAATAAAACGTAGAAATGTAGGCATTATTAATTTCGTGCTATGCTCCACAGCAAAGTGAAAAACCGCATGTCACTGACGATACATACACACACACACACACACACACACACACACACACACACACACACACACACACACACACACACACACACACACACACAGAGGGAGCGAGAGAGACAAAGACAGAGAGAGAGAGACACTGTTTAGCTGTTACAGCCACTCCTGACTCACCACATCAGGAGTCAAGGAGCTCCCCCTGCTGGCCAAAGGGGATCTGGGCTCAGGAGGTCTCTGCTTGGAAACCTGGAGATAACGTCAGAAGAAGAGTTTGTGCCAATAAAACCAGGAACAAACACACACACCAGAGCTCATGAGCCTGGGATGCGTTAGATCCAGAGTGGAGGACATTTGGACAGGTGAGGATAGTCAACGTCCTTACATAGATGCATGCATCATCTCCTGACAGCAGCAAGTTACAGGGGTGGAGCTTGTCCTTATTCGCTGTTGGAGATTTCCCCACAGTGAAGCCAGAGACCCAGAGTATGTCCTGAAACATAACAAAAGACAACAACAGGAGACTATTGCCAGATTCCCAGAGGGGACGGACTCAAGACGTGGATCTGTGAAGCCTGGGACATATGAAGCCTTGGAGGTACGAAGGCACAGATGATCAGACGCTTTGACAACTGAAGGTTGTCATGTTTGACCTGTAAGCTGACCTCAAGCTGAACAGAGAAACTCAGCCTGGAAGATATTTGATCTGAGACACCAGTCGGTTCAGCCTTAAATGAAGCCTTGGACTTATGAAGGCATGGACGATGAGACGCTTTGACATCTGAATGTCATCTCATGTTTGACCTGTAAGTCGACTTCTAGCTTAACGGAGAAGCTCAACCAGGAAGATATTTGATCAGAGACATTGGTGGTTCAGCAGCAGCTTGGATGACAATAATGTCCCTCGCTGAGATTGACAACGCTTCATGTTCCACTGCTGAAGAGGAAGCAAACACTGCAGTGTTGGCTCACCTGACCCACAGGGTGGGAGCAGAGAGGACAGGGTCAGACTCACTGGGTCAAAGGAGCATGGGGCAGGTTCTCATCCATTTTGAAACGTACAGCATATGTTTCGTTTTTTGTCACATTACAACCAAAGAGCTCCAGCCATTTTAATGATAATTTATGTGCATTTTACTTGTGTCTCAGACCAAAATAACAAAATGCATAACTGTGAAGGGTTAGAAAAAAACAGAGCAACAATTTTTCGAAAAGGAAGATCTAAGTGATTTGGCATCAATGTTCATCGATGAGCTGCTCTAAGCTGTAGTTGGGATATGTTGTTTGCTGCTGAGCAGAATCATTTTGTGGCTAAAACAAACATTATTTTACACCAACTTCTAAGTTATGTGAAACTTTTGTTAAGTTCATTTGAAGGCTCAGAATCAGTCCAGTACCAATCCACATTCCAGGAAAGAAAGACTCACCAGGTATAAATTAAATCTTTAGCTATTGGACTAATGCTTAAGAGAAATTGATTTAATCAAAGAATGTCATGAATATGTGTGTAGGGCTGCACCGATTTTCTAGCCAATTACCGATCTTTAAAAAGCCTGACCTGCCGATTTTGATTTTGGCTGATATGAATTTTTTTTGTCTGAAATGTCGCTAAATATAGCAAGAAAGTCACTGAGTTTCCACAGTGGGTGAATATTGTTAACTGTAAACGTGCAGACCAGACCTGGTGGGTCTGTCAGTCAAACCTCTCACTGCAGAGCAGAAGAGGACAGAGGCTGATTTATAAACCTTTGCTGACGAAGATAAGATTAGGGGATAAGATGGGCTTCACATGTAAGTATCGGCCAATCATCATCCCCCAAAATTAAGGAAATCGGCGCCCAGAAATCAACTGGTCGATAAATCAGTTGGCCAATAAATGTAACCTATATTATGCATGCATATAATGTAAACAGCACTGCCAGAGATGCAATAGGTTTATAGCAGGTGTGTGAATGATCTAATGATCGGACTGCTGACTGCAGCCAGTCCACATTGGGTGCGTTCACACTGCAGCCTGAAGTGACTCAATTCCGATTTTTTTGACGTAATGTGACCTGTATCCGATCTTTTCATGGCAGTGTCAACAGCACAGGTCGGATTCTTTTTGGAATGTGACCCATATCCGACACGTGTCCGATTCAAATGTGACCTAACGTCCAGGTCGCCTTCATCCGAACTGAACGTCACTGATGCTCAACAAATCTCACTATTCTGTGTCCTGATACGCGCAAGTGGGAAGAAAAACAACAACCATGACGGATTATTTGGATTAAGTTGTTAATATGCTGCTCCGGCCGGACAACAACTTTAAATATGTAAGCTAAGCTCCACCGTTAGCCTCCATGTTTACTTCCGCAAACACTGAGCACTTCTTCTTTCTATGGCGGTTGGCAGAACACTGAGAACGTTGACACTATGGCGCCCTCTACTGCGCATGCGGGACACTTTCGGGTCGTTTGCCCGTTTACACTACAGAACGCATACAGGTCGCATTTACTGGCAGTGTGAACGGCTCGGCAAAAAAATCGGAATTGCCCAAAAATCGGAATTGAGTCACTTCAGGCTGCAGTGTGAACGCACCCATTGTTAGCAGGGTTAGGGTAAGAGAACAAGTGTCACCATGGAGACCATGTAACTCAACCGGAAATTCAGGTGCGCCCTGGTGGTTCTGTTTAAAGCAGACCCAAGCCCCTTTTACACTGCACAGCCAGACCCAGCCGGTCTGGTTTCAAAGCAGGGTTGATCGTTTTTAGCATTAGCACTTCCAGCCTGCTCCCACCACGCTCCCTGGAAACCAGAGAGCTGTGGTTCCAATCGGACCGACAGATTGGGCTGGTTTGGAGTTAGCAGAGACCTTTGGAGGGCCGGGGGCTCAAAGTTAAAAAGGGGCACAATGAACAAGATCTTAAAACACCATACAACAACATAGTAACAACCCATATTAATCAAAAATCTAATATTTAATAGGATCATACTATATCACTGCCGTCAAGCGGGAACAGTGCAAAGCAGATGTAGTTCATGTTATTCCTGATAGGTATAATGTTGCTGTTTCTGTTGCTAACAGTCCTGGAGGGCTCTGTTGATCTGAGACTGTAGTTGTTAAACAGACCATAGGAGAGAAGGTCGCTGGTTATGAAGTATGTTATGAAATAAGTAAATTAGCTGCTATTTTTTTATTTTTACTAAATAAGCCCCACTACTTCTGTTTAACCTCTTTAACAACTTGGCTGCAGATTGCTTTAAACAGTCGTCCCAACCACGGGGCCGTGGACCAATTGGTACCGGGCCGCACAAGAAATAAATATTTTCGTTTTACGTATCGAGTCTGGAGGATCTTTTATTTTGAAAACCCTTTAACCAGATTTTCTCGGTTATATCTTGCGCGCCAACATTGAGCCCACAATGAGTAAGAAATATATGTCTTTGGAAAGTTTCTTTGGAAAAGGGGAAAAAGACCAGAGACAGGAGAATGGATTTATGTCAAACCGGTAGGTGACTCTCACATACCAAGTCCACTCCGCATAACATGCACCGGCTCGCCAATGAGGCAATCAAGCTTAAAACTGCCTCGCCATTACAGACCAAGCACCCTCTATAGGACCGTTTCTTTGCAGAGAAACAAGCTCAGAGCTCCCATTAATTTGTTATCGTGACTTAAAATTTTCACGAAAGTAAAATGTTCGTTTCTGTGGCGCATCTGTATCTTATTTTGAAGGGATGTGTAAACGTTACCATAGCGACCAGAGTCAGAGAGCATTAGGGCAGAGGTCGAGACGAGACAAGAGGAGTAGAACTTGTGAATCTTAAGTCTGGTTCACACGGTTTTAGGACTGTCGGCCGATTTTCAAAACTTCTGTGACCACACGAGGCAATACAAGTACAACAGGTTCGGTCGGTTTGTGTATCCAGCCACGTAACAGTAGCAAATCTTGCCGTGTGAGCAGGCTTTAGTACAAAATAATGTTGTGTCACAACTACAATCTACCTGCAATGCATATAGCTAGTGTAAGCGTCAAGCCCTGACTGAATGAATAGCCTTGTGTCACGTTAATGATGGATAGCTGAAAAGTTACCAGGTTTATCAACTGTGGTAGGAATTTTGCTCCAACTCTGCTCCTTATCATTTCTGTGGATATTCTTTGTACGAAATGCTGAATAAACATTCCACTATCATCTCCAAGGCCGTGCAGAGACCATTAAAGGGACAGGTGCTCAAGCACCTCTAGCCCCCCCATCTGCACGTGCCTGATCATCTCCGATGTCCACCAGTTACGATGTCAGCTGTTTGGGATTCCCCACCGTGAGATATGTCACCGGGCTTTCTGATTGGCTACCTGTCACATTTAATAGACCCACACGCTGCGAGAATATGCCCGATTTTAGATCGGAGCGGTGTTCTGTCAGACTAGCATACGCTGTCAGATTGTCATACGCTCAAGTCTGAGCATACCACACACGGCAGGATGGTCGGTTACGATTATTGCGAGCGATGTTCTAAGATTGTCGTAAGGGAAATTCGGGGCAAAAAAAAAAAAAAGAACCCGGGTCGCAGAAAAATTGCCATATCTTGACCGATCCGCGGTGATAAAAAGGTTGGGGACCACTGGCTTTAAAGATCAAAAAGCTCAGAGTTAACTCTACATCATTTTTTTATGTTAGCACCTCAGAGATCTAGAATTGCAATGTTCAGAGATATCAAGGTAAAGAAAACTCAGTAGCTGCTGGTCCTCCAGACATTCATTGGCCCCTATAAATGGTTGAACTGTAACACAGACCATAGATCTAAAACTTTAGCATTTATTTATTAAGAATGACAATGCTATTGAATGCAATGCATTCAGCAGAGGATTTAATTAGGAAGTTTACTTTGTAAGCATGCAAAGAATCACCTGGATAGTTTGATTATTGTGTTCCCATGGCTACAATATGGTGTAATATTTGTGTTTAAGGAAGGCTTTTTCTCACTATTGCGAGGACAATTACAAAACATAAATAGAAACAGTTTTCCAACTTCAACATCAGACCTATGTTTTTAATTCACAAGCGTTATGTTGGAGAAAAAAAATCTTGCCCATAATTTGATAGTTAGCTTGTTAGCTAGTAATTTGATAGCTCAGATCCACCTCCCTCCTCCTCACCATGGGCCCGGTGACTTAACAAGATGGAGGCAGAGAGACTGAGGATCCTCAGTCATTATTAAACCGAGGGCAGCCAGACAAATTAATTTTGATAAATATTATGGTTGAGGGCCATAAGCAGGCCTCCTGACACACAAATAATAATAATAATAAAACCTTCAAAAAGGGCATTAGCATTAGGGGCATCAAAGATAAAAAGGGCAGGGGCTCAAGCCGTGCCTGTGTCTCCCAGTTCTCTGGGTGAGAGGAGCACTAGACTTTCTTGATGACTCTGTCTGAATTCAGGGGCTGCATCCTTCGAAGTACCTGGTCTATGAAGGATGGGCCCTTTGCAGGCCACAAATATTGAAGATCAGAAGAGAGAAACTGTGAATTCGGACAGGTCTAGCCTTCAGCTAGCTGTCAAACCTCCATCTCAGTGTAACTTATGTTGGCTAGCAACCGTGATAGCTTGAAGCACAGAGCGGCAAAGGAAAAAATGGAGCAGAAGTTTGTTTTTTAGCCATGTTTTACTCCTGATTTCTGTATTATTCTTCAACTTTTGTAGTAAAGGCTGTTATATAGTAGAAAAAGAAATGTTAGTTTGATTCTAAAATGTTCAATGAGTATAGCACATTTCTACAATGAATGAATAAGCAAATTATTCATTTTCAAATATAATACTCTCCAGATCTCAGATAAAACAGTTAAATAAAGCTATTATGGTTTGAAGGCTTAACTTGAATCAGTCAAATCGATTTGCTCAGGAATAAATTAGATACTTCAAGTATCATACTTTAGTAAACCAAACATTCTACAGCTAGATATCAGCCGATAGAATAATATCAGTGTTTAACTTCCAGTCATTTGGGAAAGCTAGCAGGAGTTTTTAAAACAATGTGCTGGGAGTCAGGCGCTCTCTCCTGGTATAGCGAACCTGGAGCTCCCGACCAGCTGACAGCTGGCAAGGGAAACTGGCTGTTAATGAAGCAGGAGCACACATCTCTGAAAATGTGACAGCAGTATTGCAATTAGGTGATGTATTGATGAACCGAGCAGATATTTGAGACTTACACAGCTACATTTTCACCTAAAAACATTCTAAAAAAAAAAAAAATCATGTTGTGTTGCTTAAGGTGTAATAGGAAAATAATTTGTTGCTCTTCACCACCATTGATGCTTTGCCTGAACACCCGATGGACCCGCAATGAATTGAATATGCAGCTAAAAAGACTGATTTAGTCCCCCACATTAAAGCAAGTGAAATCTTCTCTTCAGCAGAAATGTGAAAGCTTATCGAAGTTGATGAGACAATGGGTGTAGCAAAAAATCAAGACAATCTTTTGGAACCATCTTCCAGCTTTGGTTAATGCCTTTCCTTAAATAAAACTTGTTGGAGTTAGTTATATATTGATGTGATTGTTAAAGCCAGGAAAAAGCAGCTTATGCAAGAACTGAGATACTGGATAATAATAGCAAAACTCTACTGTGGAGATGTCGTGTGATGCAATGGTTAGAGAAGAGCACCACTTACAGAGGCCATTCACCACTTCCCTTTCCTCTTGGAAGGGTGGACCACCAACCCCTGATATTAGCTTCTAGGCCTGTTTACGGTTTTATTCCAGCAAACCGTAAACAGGCCTAAACTGAACTTTTTTTCTGAAGTCTCTTGAGACAATATTTGTAGTGAGAACCGAAATCCAAAGCAGTGGCTGGTTGCCTTCACCAGATCCATTTGTTGGAGTTTGGACCCACAGTCCGGGCTCCTGGCCTGCTGAGTGGCAACCAGGAGCTTCAGACCCTCAGGATGGCCGTCACTGCAGCTTTAAGATGTTCTCTTGACCTGCTCAGTGATTTGAATATGGGTCAGTCAATTGTTCCTGGTGGTCTTTTGAGACAGTTCATAACCTTTCCTACACAGGCATGAAGCCATCTCAAGAGCATCTAACAGCAAAGCTCGCCTGACCAAGAGTTAGAGTTTAGATCTACACCTGAGCCCAACTTGAACCAAAATCACATGCTTGCTAATTGGATGGAGTTGGACTTCCATGACACATTTTTAATAAGCCTCTAATACAGAGAGAACTAAAGGAGAATGCTCAGCATAAAGATGTGTTAATTACAGTCTAAATAGAGGAGGAGGCGGTTCAGAAGTTAAGCAGCACACTGCATGTGCACATGGCCTCGTGCTGCTCTGCTCCTCTTAATCACACAAGTGAATGGAAATGAATGCAAGACACTAAACAAAAGCTAAAAACAGAAGTTCCACTACTATGTTAGCAGAGGTACAGCAATTTAAGCTAATATAATTATATTTACCTTGGACTCAGGTCTATAAATACAGACATTTAGTCGAGTTAGATCAGGCCTGGACATGTGCTTGGGCCAAGCTGGATTTCTTTAGGGCCTGATCTAAACTTTACCAGGAGCCACCCAAGATGAAGGTTTGGGTTAGAAAGCATCGAAGGTACTTTACCCAGTGCCAGAAAGACATTTTGATCATGTCAATGTGGACATTGTGGGGTCCCAGACCCCATCCCAGGGGTTCCCTCACCTTTTAGCCATGGTTGATAGAACTGCACATTGGCCTGAGGCAGCCTGCTGCCATCTGCTGAGGTTGCATGGACATTTGTCTGCACATGGGTACACAGATCCGGCACTTTGTGTGACCTCTCCTCAGACGGCATGTCAAAGTTCCCTTGGGAACTCTGAAACACAATACCAGATCTCCTGGCCAACAGACTGCATAAAGGACCTTTTCATCTCTCCATTAAAATATATCTTTGAACCAAGGCCACAAAATGTCTTAAAACATAAAGTGAAGTTCTTTTTGGTTGAGCATGTCCTTTAGTAAAGCTTTAAGGATCCAGTTCTCCAGTTCCTGGCTAACACTCTGAACTGGACCTGTTGATATCGGAGATGACAGTGCCACAGTGTCTTGTTTTAATAGACCCGGTTGGCATGAGGCTAGATGATTACACAAACATACCCCTGGGTTGACTCTGTGGCTGAAGCTCTCAGCTAATGCTCCAAAAATGATCATGTTTATGGACATTCTCTGACAGTCGACATTCTGCATGGCATCTTCCTCTGAAAAAAAATAAAAATAAAAATCAAATCAATAAATATGTTTCAAGGTAAGTCAGGTTTATTTGTATAGCACATTAGAACACTATTAAAATATGTAGCATGTCACAGGGACACAGACCTAGGCCTGCGACTGTACTGAGTGTGATATGATGGTAACAAGATGGTGAGCAGCTTGCAACCCATGTTGACTAACTGCATCTAGTACCTGTAATATCTCAAATAAAATAATTATTTACAACAGGCTTTCTGCGGGCTGAAAGAAAAAATTGTCTAAACATGCTAAATTTATTGTTTTCTTCTGCTTATTTGAGGGGAAAAAAAAGTTGTTCCCCAGCCAGCTGAGAAATCCTCCAAAATGTATTTAAGCATTATTTAATTTCACAAGAGCTCAAGTTCACAGATGACTATGATAAAGTCAGAAGCTCACCAGCTTGTTGGAAAATGAAACAAAGATATGCACTTCTAGAAATATACATTTCTAACTAAATAAAGCAAGTCATATCTACGTAGTGATTATTTTTCTTTGGGTCTCTCCAACATCACCGTTTCAGAGCTCCTAATTGGTGTTGATTGGACATGAAGGCAGCTGGCCAGTGACTCCAGAACAACTTGAGATCCAGGTTAAGATGAACTCGCTCCGCCCATTCTCTCTCTTTTTGTTACTCGCTCTCCTTTCTCCCACTTCTTATGGAGGACCAAAACTGACATAAGAAATAAAAGATTAAATAAATAAGAGTAAATATATATTTTGATAAGAAATAAAAGCATGAATATATATAGTTTTTCCTTTTTCCTTATACATGAGTTTTTGTCAAGTAATGTATATATTTTCTTATTTCCCCTAAACATGTTTTTGTCAAGAAAAATAGGTATTTGGCTATGTCTTGTTTTGCTTCTCGCTGTATTTCTGCTTCATCGTTTTGTTAATGAGGAGAGCTGCCTTCTATGTCTGCTATTGGTCAATAGAGCTTTGGAACCAACATCACTGCGTCAGACGTTGTGGGGCGTTTAGGTGCAGTCGCTTGGTGCCATCTTTACAGGCCACAGTCACAGACCTAAACAAACTTTATCCTGGTGGTTTTATTGCGTTACCGACTGTACTGAAGTGAACCTCCGAGCTCTTGAGGAGGGAGCTGGAGAACGACTGGCCGAAATTAACGTTCATAAATCAAATCAACCTTGAGCTAAACGCTGCTTACTTGGCGGATATTGGAAAATCCAATATCCAACTCGAAACCAACTTCACTGCAGTCGGTAACACAACAAAACCACCATAAAGTTTGTTTTGGTCTGAAGCCTGCAAAGATGGCACCGAGCGACTGCGCCTAAACGCCCCATGACGTCTGACGCAGTGACGTTGGTTCCAAAGCTCTATTGGCCAATAGAAGACATAGAAGGCAGCTCTCCTCATTAACATAACGATGCTGCAGAAAAACAACAAATGGAAAAACAGCAAGCAGAAACACAGAGAGCAGAAAAGGGAGAAGCAAAAAAAGACAAAGCAAAATATCTTTTTTTTGACAAAAACACGTTTAGGGGAAATAAAGAAAATGTATACATTACTTGACAAAAACTCATGTGCTAGGAAAAGGAAAAACTGAATATATATTTATGCTTTTATTTCTTATCAAAATATATATTAATTCTTTTATTTATACATTTATTATTTTATTTTTATTATGTCGGTTTTGGTCCTCCATAACTTCTTGCCCTCTCTTCTCCAGCCAACCATGATTTTGTTAAATAAATCTAATTTTAAGTCGTCCTATGCATTGCTCCACTTTGTTATGGTTCAAGAGCCAGACCACAACATGGTGCAGAAGATTTATGTTTTTACCAAAGCAACTCTAGTCTAATTTTCTTTTACTATGCTTCTAAATTACAAATAGCCCTAAAATGTTATTAATGCAGACAACACTTGTAGTAAAGAACAACAAAGGTATTTGACATTTATATTTTGAAATGTTGTAATTTATGAAGATACATAATCTTTTTTTCATTTGAACAAATACAGATGATTCTACTTTTTTGTGAATTTCACTTAAAAACTGTATTATCGATAAAATGACTTGTTCTTAGAAAAATGTAAATATCAAAAATTGATCTTTTTGAAGTGAACGGATCCTGAAGATTTGGTTCCCACCGTTGGCTGACAGTCAGCCTTTGTTAACACCAGGTTGCTCAGCAGGTCTGGGGAGAAACATTCAGAGTTGATTTTTCTGAAATCTTGTTTTCAGTGTCAACACTGAAATGGCCATATCTTCTTCATTTCTTTTTGATTTACAGGTGTTTGACATCTTTGGAAAGCACTTTCAGAATCTGTAAATAACTGAAAACGCCTCTAAGGGGACTTGTTCATCTTGGGTAGTCACAAATCTTAGAATTCCAAAGATTATAATATTTCTCCTAAAATGATGTCACTGGTAACTACTTTTAGTCTGGGGATTCTTTGTGAATACATGACCCACTTTCTCTGCAAACTGTCTGATGTCTGCATCTAGTCTATTTACTTTACAGCTTAATCTTCCAGTGGTATGAACACTTTCTATACCCAAAGCTATAGAAATGAGCTGTTATAATAGTGTGTATGTATCTAGTTCAGTGGTTCTTAACCTTTTTTGATGTACCGAACCCACCAGTTTTATATGCGCATTCACTGAACCCTTCTGTAGTGATAAAATATTATTTTTTTCCTCCAAATTCAAGACATAGGGGTGACATAGGGAGTCTCTGTCATCAAGAGAAACTGGAACCACTTTAAGGTCTTGTTTAGATCATTTAATTAGCTCTACATTCTTAAGAGAAAGAAAAATTCATAATAAATAATAAAGAGATTTAGTAATGTAATTATATTAATTGTGTTACCACCCCCACGCCACTAGAGGCAGTACCAACCCCAAAAAGATGCGACTAAGGAGCAGATTTTGCTTAAGTAATTAAAGACACAAGTTCAAATCCGTGCTGAGAGTGGAGCTCCTCCAATCAGGGCTCCTCCGCAGCTCTGACTGGCTCAGCAATGTAACGTGATCCTCTGCAGCAACTGATGGCAAAGCGGGGCGTCATCACGACTTTACACAGTGTGTCTTTACCTCCGCGGCAGAGGCTCTGCCGAACCCCTGAGACCGACTCATCGAACCCCTGGGGTTCGATCGAACCCAGGTTAAGAACCACTGATCTAGGTTCATATGAGGAAGTTGCTTCTGGTTATTTACATCTGTGTGGGTTGTTTCTTTGTGTGTGTGAATGTCTGCAGTAGTTGGGCGGTTGTGAGAGCTGTGTGACACCTTCCTTGGAACAGACAAACATGTTCAAGTCCTCTGTGATTTGTGTCAGGCTTTAGTTTCAGCATCATGCCTGTGTTTGTTTCTTGGCCCGATATATTTCCAGGCAAAGGGATTTGTCATTCCTGTAGGGACAAATTTTAAGCCAGCTAACCAACAGTGCGCACCAGGAGGCTGGGGATTAATATCAGGAACATAGTTATTTTCAAGTTTTACTGGCACTCTAGTTGACAGATCAGAGGCTGGTTTAGGCCTGATGTGTGGTGGAAAGGCTGGAAACAAGCTGACAACCTCCCCTGACCAATGACTTCTCTTCTATGTGGGCCACAGCTTCCATCAACTACTTTCTCCTATAAGGAGACCAACTGCGGTGAATGAGAGCAATGCTAATGAAATGGTTACCATGAATGATGGTTTTCAGGATCAAGTCATCAGTTGCTACCCTCACAAGCGGCCCTTTATGAATCACTTCACCCTTGGAAAGAAAACACACTATAATAAATATTCAAACATGATTGGTTCTGACTAGAGCTTATCAGAAACTCCAGTTAGAGTATTAACATCAGAGAAACATGCAGGGATGTCAGGTAGCTTGTGGAAATGAAATGAGAGAGACAGCAATCATTCTCTTGCTTTAGTGTTATCAACTCTGCATTTTAATCAAGAGAGAAGAAAACATGGACAGATAGAACAACATACCACAGCGCTGTCGGTTCAAACCCTAATCCACTTTAGTGCCCATTCTCCTTCAAATCCCAAAACTAGCAGTGACTTTGTGCTATTTGTATGTGGAAGCTTTGGGTTGAATTTTCCAACTCACCGCCTGAAACTCACTTCCCCTCAATGCGATTACTTCACTGGGATAGCTTAAAGCTGGGATAACTTTTATTTTAAAAAAAAATGTTTTTCACATCTATGAGACAGATAACCTGTGAAAAAAATCAATCTCCTCCAACTCCTCCTAGTGATACTATTTATGTCTGAAGAAAGGCACCGCTGCTGGTCAAAAACAATCAACAAGAGCCATGAGGACGGTCTTTGTGCCGTCACTCAACCTCATGTACACGCTGCTAAATGCTAACAACTTAACGTTTCAGGAAAATCCTTTATCAGTCATCATCATTGGCCATGCTAACTAACCTGAGAATTCCTGGTGGCAGAGTATAGCATGTTAACTAGCCCTTTAGATAGTTAGCAGAGAGCAAGGGGAGAGTGTGAGCAGCGTGTACAAGCCTGTGATTGACAGAGCTAAGACCTTCCTCTGTGCCCTGACTGGTTATTTCTGACCAAGTTATTCATTTCTGTAGTTAGCACTAGAAGAAAGCAGAAGAACTGGATTATGAGTCTCATAATATACTCTCAGGACATTAAGACAGTTTTAAAAGATATGTAAAAAAAAAAAAAAAAAACTTTTTTTTTTTATAAAAGTTACATAACCCAGCTTTATAGCAGTGACCAGGAAAGTAAATCTTAATCAACTTCTAAGGTTTTCACTGATAGTGGAGGCAGCAAAATAAGACAAATGGTGACTCAAACAAACCTTGACTGTTTTGTTGTTGTAGTTAGTGTTTGGGCAGAGGAGAGCCATGGGAATCCTGGTCAGGTGTGACGGTACCTGGGAGCATGGGCCCGACCCGTCTGACAGAACATACACCGTCATGATGTTATGGTGACCTGGGATGAAAACCACAAAAATGATTTCTTTCTCATCCAGGGCAAACATTATATTAGTATTAACCACACAATAATACACATTTCTCAATGTGTGTGTATTTCTTTTATGTAGAAATACACACACACATGTCAGGTAGCTTGTGGAAATGAAATGTGTGTGTGTATTTCTACATAAAAGAAATACACACACACATTTATACATATATTGCAGATACGTTAAATGTTATTGTTTACATCCAGAAATTTTATGCATGCGCACATTGCTGGAGGGCAAGAAGAGGCTTCTTTTATTTGCTATCCGCAGCTGCTCTGTTAAGGTAGAACAATTTCCATAAAATTAAACCTGGAGATCAGTAGAGGTCAACTGATCCATCGGCCATCCCATCCATCCATTTTTGTCCGCTTATCTGGGGTTAGGTCACGGGGGGTAGCAGCTTAAGAAGGTAGGTCCAGACTTCCCTCTCCCCAGCCACTTGTTCCAGCACCTCCAAGGGAATCCCAAGGCGTTCCCAGGCCAGTCAGAAACATAGTCCCTCCAGCGTGTCCTGGGTCTTCCCCGAGGCCTCCTCCCAGTGGGACGTGCCCGGAACACCTCACCAGGGAGGATGCCTCACCAGGAGGCATCCTGACCAGATGCCCGAGCCACCCCAACTGGCTTCACTGACGTGAAGGAGCAGCGGCTCTACTCTGAGTCCCTCCCGGATGACCGAGCTTCTCTCTCTAAGGGAGAGCCCAGCCACCCTGCGGAGGAAACCCATTTCAGCCGCTTGTATCCGGGACCTTGTTCTGTCAGGCATGACCCAATGCTCATGACCATAGATGAGGGTAGGAATGTAGATCGACCAGTAAATCGAGAGCTTCTCTTCTTGACTCAGCTCTCTCTTCACCATGACAGACCGGTACAGGGCCCGTTTCACTGCAGACGCTGCACCATTCCGCCTGTCTATCTCCCGCTCCCTTTTTCCCTCATTCGTGAACAAGATCCCCAGATACTTAAACTCCTCCACTTGGGCAGCCCCGATAAGCTGCCTCGACAATGGAGGTACGGAACATGTTCCATTCAGACTCAATGTCCCCCACCTCCCCCGGAACATGTTCAAAGTTCTGCCGGAGATGGGAGTTAAAGCTCTGTCTCACAGGGGACGCCGCTAGACGTTCCCAGCAGACCCTCACAACACGTTTGGGCCTCCCAGGTCTGACTGGCATCCTCCTCCACCACTGAAGCCAACTCTCCACCAGGTAGTGGTCAGTGGACAGCTCCGCACCTCTCTTCACCCGAGTGTCCAAGACATACGGCCGCAGATCCGATGAAACAATGACAAAGTCGATCATCGAACTGCGACCTAGGGTGTCCTGGTGCCAAGTGCACACATGGACACCCTTGTGCCTGAACATGGTGTTCGCTATGGACAACCCATGACCGGCACAGAAGCCCAACAACAGAACACCACTCAAGTTCAGATCGGGGGGAGGGGGGGCCGTTCCTCCCAACCATGCCTCCTCCAGGTCTCACTGGGTGCGTTCACACTGCAGCCTGAAGTGACTCAATTCCGATTTTTTGGCAATTCCGATTTTTTTGCCGAGCCGTTCACACTGCCAGTAAATGCGACCTGTATGCGTTCTGTAGTGTAAACGGGCAAACGACCCGAAAGTGTCCCGCATGCGCAGTAGAGGGCGCCATAGTGTCAACGTTCTCAGTGTTCTGCCAACCGCCATAGAAAGAAGAAGTGCTCAGTGTTTGCGGAAGTAAACATGGAGGCTAACGGTGGAGCTTAGCTTACATATTTGAAGTTGTTGTCCGGCCGGAGCAGCATATTAACAACTTAATCCTCATACAATCCGTCATGGTTGTTGTTTTTCTTCCCACTTGCGCTTATCAGGACGCAGAATAGTGAGATTTGTTGAGAAACAGTGACATTCAGTTCGGATGAAGGCCACCTGGACGTTAGGTCGCATTTGAATCGGCTACGTATCGGATATGGGTCAGATTTGAAAAAGAATCCGACCTGTGCTGTTCACACTGCCATGAAAAGATCGGATACAGGTCGCATTACGTCAAAAAAATCGGAATTGAGTCACTTCAGGCTGCAGTGTGAACGCACCCACTGTCATTGCCGACGTGACGTCACTTTTTCTGTTACAAGCTGACTCTGGCCCCCCACCAGAGAAGGGAAATGTTATGTGCCCCTCACAGGAAAAAGTTTGGGGACCCCTGACCTAGACACTTCAAACTTGCACTCAATTATTCTGCTCTAATAATAGAATATTTATAACCATGTTTGGGATTTGTGAAACTTTTATCTGATTTGTGAAACTTCAATAAAGGGCAAATTTTACCCTTTTTTTCTGTCTCAGTCACACAAGATCTGCTCTAATTCCAAAACCACAACACCTAGACTCTTCAAACTTGAAATGGATTATTCTGCTCTAATACCAGAATATTTAAAACCATGTTTGTGATTTGTGAAACTTCAGTAAAGGGCGATTTTACCACTTTTTTGCATCTGGGTTGCACTAGAATTGCTCCAGCTCCATATCTACAACACCTGAACTCTTCAAACTTGGACTAGATTATTCTGCTCTAATAGCAGAATATACATAACAATGTTTGTGATTTGTGAAACTTCAAAAAAGGTCAATTTTTGTCCTTTTTTTCGGTTTCGATCATACAAGATCTGCTCTAATTCCAAAACCACATCACCTAGACTCTTCAAACCTGGACTGGATTATTCTCAACTAACAACAGAATATTTAGAACCATGTTTGGGATTTGTGAAACTTCAATAAAGGTTGATTTCAGCCCTTTTTTTGGATCTTGGTCACATCAGAGCTGCTTCAGCTTCAAAACTACAACACCTAGACTCTTTAAACCTGGACTATATTATTCTTCTCTAATAGCAGAATATTTTAATCCATGTTTGGGATTTGTGAAACCTTTATGTAATTTGTGAAACTTCACTAAAGATCAGATTACTATTCATATATGTTCCATGCAGTTTTTTTCAAATTCAATTCTAATTCAAAACCACTTTATTAATCCCAATGGGAAATTAAATGTTGGTGTAACTCATTATTTTTTCAAAGAGTTATTGTAGATGGTGATGGCTGTTGGAAGGAAAGATCTTTTGCAGCGGTCTGTTAAGTGAAGTTTCACAAATCAGAAAAAGGTTTCACAAATCCCAAACATGGTTTTAAATGTTCTGCTATTAAGTGAAAATAATATTGTCCAGGTTTGAAGTGTCTACCCAGATAGCACAGAATGATTGAAACAACGTTGAATCAATGTCAGGCAAATACATTGGATCAATGTTGAAAGTAGTCGGTGACTTGTATGTTGAATCAATGTTAGGGTTTCAACCATAACTGACATTATGTCAATGTTGATTCAACCATCATCTGCATGTCAATTTACATGCATATTTGTGTTGATATTGTATTGAATTGGTTAGGAATCAACGTTGATTCACCCTTCATCTGAATGTGGTTCTGCATGCATATTTGTGTTGATTCTACATTGACTTCAACCACAAATCAACCATTAATCAGACCTCAGCATTTCAGTCATCAGATTTTAACCACAAAACAACATTGATTCAGTGACACAGTTTCAACGGTTTGATTGAATGGTTGTTTGATGGTTGAAGTTTACCATCATTTGTAAACTTCAACCAAAAATCAACAATTCTAACTATAATTCAACATTGATCTAACATTTTGTGCTATCTGGGTAGGTGTTGTAGTTTTGGAGCTAGAGCAGTTTTAATGCAACCCAGATGCAAAAAAGTGGTGAAATCAACCTTTATTGAAGTTTCACAAATCAGATAAAAGTTTCACAAATCACAAACGTGGAAAATTAGGTAGAATCGCCCTTTAGCCATTTCCCAAATCGGAAGCTAGAATTGGAAACCAACTTCAGCTGGGATTTTACTGCAGCAGTGAAATCCCAGTTTATCGTGAAAACCGAGACTACAGATCCAACAAATTCCCATTAAAGCCGCATTTTGAATCAGAAAAGAAATCTACTTCAACTGTTAATGTAGGCCGTAAGCAAGAATAGTTTGTCAAAATTAATAATCTAAATGAAGTAGCACTTATTATCCATTGCTGGTTTATCGGTAACTCTTTCAAAGCAAAACATGATGATTTTTAAACCGAGTTTGGTCTCACACACGCTCGTTGACGAACGCGTAAGCTTATCCAGCATTAAACCATTCAGAACATGTTTCCATGTAAATTTTATCTTTACATGAAAACCCCAGAAACTACAATGACAATAAGAAAAGGACAACTTACAGCAACAGGAAATAACTGCTTTCCCTCCCCTGGTTTCGAACAGACAGGAAATTCCCCTGACGCGCATGCGCACAAGGAAACTTTCTTCTTCTTTTGATTTTTATTGGCGGCTGGCATCCAACTTAAGGTGCATTTACCGCCACCTACCAGACTGGAGTGTGGTCATCAGAGATCTCAGAGGGAATTTAACACGCCTCAATGATGTGTAGGATGTGCAAATTCACATCTAACACATTCATTAAATACATGTAAGAATGCATGAGCATGTACTGGTATACACACACATACTTACACATATTCTAAATACGATTCATTAACCCATTGTTATTTAAAAACCTAAATAAAAGATATCTAACATAATTTGATTTATTACCTAGTAGATTGATCATAGACAGTCCTATATTCTTTCTGCTTAGTAATGACTTTAAAAGCTGACGTTCCTCTGAGTATTTATCACATTCAAACAATACATGCTCCACTGTAATTACAAGCCCCAGTCTCATGCTTTTCTATTTTAAAGAGAGAACTGTTAAGTCCAGAATGCCCAATTCTAAGTCGAGTCATAACTACTTCCTCTTTCCGCCTTCCACTCAGATAATTACTACCTCCCACACTCTTTTGAATTGCATATAACTGTCTTCCATTATCATGATTATCCCATTGATCCTGCCGAATCTTAATAATTTCTTTTTGAATAATAGATTTCCCCTCACTTTTACTTAAAGGAATATTCAAATGAACAATTTCTGATTTCAAGGCCTGCTTAGCTAAAATATCTACTTCCTCATTTCCTTCTATACCTACATGAGCAGGAATCCAGACAAATTGAACCAAGCATTTATTGTTATGTAAATGAACTAATAATTGGTATATTCTTAATATCAAATCTAATCTACAAGATTTGCCAGATTTAATACTTAATAATGCTGCTTGACTATCTGATGCTATAGTAAATTTACTTTCTTACCATACCATACCATACCAACTTTATTTATAAAGCACTTTAAAACAACCACAGTTGATACAAAGTGCTGTACAATTTAAG